GATTGGATTGAAATAATTATAATACTGACAACAATGAAATGCCACGAGTTTTCTGCTGATGCCAATATAGGTTGAAAAAAGCAATTATCAATTGCCATCTTTTAATAGCCTTGGCTAAAATAAAATTACACTACTAAGGAGACGTTAATTTACTAATTCTTTAACTATTGACAGTGTAAAGTTACATTCATTGGTTAAATTACTTAGATAACCATCCTTTTATACTGCAGAAGTGAAGTGTTATCTAGTGATGAGTATGACTACAAGAAACCTTGATTAGTCATTGCTGAAAACAAACCCAGCGACCACCAGAAAACATTGCTGCTAAAATTAGACTCATCACAAGTTAACAAAACTCAGACCGTGAAGAATAATCAAGCCTTTACTTTGATTTTTTGTAAGAATCAGTCTCACATGAGCCATCTGGACTTAATCTTAGGATCAACAGTTTGTTAATACTCATGCCACTTGTCCTTCAAAAGGAAGAGGGAAGGTGACATTTCACATCTGCATTCCTATCTAAGCTGCGGTCCTGAGGACAGCATTTTGCACACTCCTCTTCTGGCCGTGCATATTTGAATGCAGAAAAGCAATAAATGTTAAATGATTAGTAAAATGAATTTGGTGATGTAGTAAAATTCCATGGTCCATATTCATTGTGGTAAGATAACCACAAAAATAGGCTGAGTGCATCATGCCAAGGCTCACTGGTAAACTCCCTCAGAAATATAAATAAAAAATCAAAAACCGTTATCTTTCATTGTTTGGCTTGAGTACTCTGGTTCCTTTGTGTGGTACTTCTTAAAAGTTTTTGAACTATGAGATAAAACTTTCACAGAAAAACAAGATTTTTTTTCCAGAATGTTTACTAGCAAGCCTTGAATTTGTGCATTGGAGCCAGTTTTCCTGGATTGTATTCAAGCATCACGACCTCTTAAAAATACTGATGTTCTTGTACGCTGCATAATAATTGATTTTATACAATATACAAAGTACATTTTTAATGACATTGAAGCAAAGCTGACTTAATCCTCCATTGGAATAACCCTCCATGGCATGTAGAAATTACGAGGACATCACATCTGGAAAGGTTGTGTTTAAAACAAGTAAACATAATCCAAAAGACGATGAAATAAATTTCTTAAAAAATTGCCCCCAAAGCAATAAGTTCCCCTGGGAAGCATCCCTAAATAAGCATCTAATCAAACCCCCAAAAGGGACAACATGCCATGAAAGCTTTACAAGGTCTCAAAATAACTTCTCATCACAAGAAGTAGTCAGGTGTTCTGCGGGTGACATGGGGCTCTCCTCGTCTAGGTGCCGGGTCAAACTGAAGGCTGCAAATATAAAATCAAGTGCAATGTAAGCAGCCAATGAAAAGAAAACTTCACAAATCAATATAGGGAGTTCCAAATCATGACAACTATGACAAGCCTTATTCTGAGCACTATTACCCAGTAGCGGAGTACAATCACGTTGCCGAATTTCAAAAGTACAGAGCAGTAGCATGTTCAAAAGTTTGCCATCACTTTCTTAGCAGATGAAGAGATGAAGGCTTCTTAATTCAAGTCTTCATTACTACCTCATCTAAAAAAGACTCTTGATCACTGTTAGTTAGAGTTACAGCAATGGGAAAACACCATTAGCCAACTTTAAAACGGAATCTTCATCAAGGATGGAATGTTTTTAAAGGAATATCCTTTTTCAGGTGTCTCTATACAGACTGGAAAGACTATAAAGACAGATGACCTAGGTTCACCATTTTAACAAAGGTGAAAACAGTTAACAAAACCTGGCTAAGAAATCAATTATACTTACAAGGAATACTTAAGGGCATCATCGAGTTCCATGATTGCAGCTTGATTTCCACATCTGTAGCAGTAGTTTGGAGCACTAAATATGGTAACTACATTCCTATCATGGCACCAGTTGTAACCCTGTAAAATGAAATTGGATACCAATACATTACAACCATTAAAAAAACTTCTTTATACATATACTATGTAATTTTCAGTAGCAGATGCTGTTGGATACTAGTGCTAAGTAACATGCGAATATTCTCCACTTCTGAATAAAACGAAAATAGCACAGGCCATCAAAATTTAGCGAGTGAATTTATCAATCACCACTGTCTGATGAAAACTCAGGGAGGCTAGGTTAAGAACTTTGGTAAAAGTCTATTTATCAAAGGGTTTCAATGAAACAATAGTAATGATCGTGATGTTTTTTTTTTTAAAGAAATAGCAATAATAAAAACCATACTACTATAATAACAACCCTAACAACAACAACAACAAGCAACAAAGAGAAAACAGAAGTTATCTCTAACCTCCATAACAAGTTGATGAGCTCTTGCAATAAGAGTCAGGCCGTTTGTGTGATTAAAAGTTTCTGATATATCTTGTCCAAAGGTGTATCCAGCACCGCGTGGTGAAATACCCCAGCCACCCCTATCGTCTGGGTCACTCCACAACAAATCACACATTGGACCCTAAAAGTAAAAAGCCAGACACCAAAAGGTTAGAGAAACTATAGAGGCTGCTTTGCTTGGAATAATGATACTGATTATAATGTGCCCTCATCATTGCAGAATTATATCACTTTGACATCATAAAATTGTGTGATTTCTTAAAATCACTGGACACAGCATACAGCATACAGTTTAACAACAAACATCTCTTTGAAAGTATTTCTACTACAAGGGAAAAAATTAAATGCATGGACACAGGTGCTAGTTGCAGAAAATAAAAAAGAGAGGAAAGAAGTATGATAGAAAAAGACAGGAAAAGAATCCTGCCGAATATTGAAGAGAAAGATAAACAAACCTCATGAGGGACTTCCTGGATACGATCAAGAGCCCTAATGTGATCCAGTGTGTCAATGGAAGGTGACAAACCCCCATGAAGGCAAAATATCTACAATGGTAAAGAAAGTTTATATTCTCAATAATGTGAAGGCAAAATATCTACAACAATAAGGATTGTTTATACTCTCAAAAATTTAAGGGTAAAGGTTAGTTCACATTTTAAAGAAATGCCAATGTCCATTCCCCCCCCCCCAACCTTGTCTTACTATGCTCAAGTGACTTGCTTTGCTGTGTTCTTTACACTTTACAAAATTAGATGCCATATTTTAATGATTGAACTCCCCCAGTTTTTTTAAAAGTTGGTGTTCAATAGGGGTCAGACATTTATTAATGAAATACAATTATCAGTCATTTTCTTAGTTTGATCTTTAGAAAGGAAAACTCATAAAAAAACTGAAACAACTTGTAAACAAACACTGGAGGGATCCTCACAATTCAAAGACAGTGAGCAATACAACACAGGAAAGAAAGTGCATAAATAACATAAAACAAACACAGACAGTTGCTATCTGTGCAGCAACTATCCTGGTTTTGTTATGTTAGTATTTTTCCTTTGTGTTTATTAAAATCACAAAACAGCATACTGTACTTGGTGTGTTGAAACAGTGCCATTCAAGAGAGTACTACTTGTATTTACTACGAACTGGTACTTATGACCTTGACTGCAAATAATAGCTGTGACCTCCATCAAAGGCTGGAGCCCCAAGTAGACACATGCAGCATTTATTTAATCAAAGGCTCCTTAGAGCAACCTCATAGTATGAATTTTTGCAGCAAGCTTAAGTTCACTTTATATTTGTGGTGTTTGGGTCTTCACACACAAATCATTCATGTTATATCACTTTTAGGACTCAGATGTTCATTTCTCTGCAGTCAAGTACTCTGTAGCATATTTCCTTTCCATTTTTGTCTCCACAAAGGTATGTTTTGATCAAGTTTGGAATCAAAAAACCATTACGCTTTAAGAGACAGGAAGCCATTTTGAATCTGTCCAAGTAGTTTGGCATATTCTTGCCTTTGTACCACCCCCAAATATACGTACACCGCGACTTTGAACAGGTAAACTTGTGTTTTGATAAGTTTGGAATAAAAAAAAACCATCACGCTTCTAGGGACAGGACGCCATTTTGAATCTGTCCAAGTAGTTCAGCATATTCTTGCCTTTGTACCACCCCCCAAATATATGTACACCGTGACTTTGAACAGGTAAACTTGTTGGGGAGGGGGAGAAAAAGTGTTTAATCCAGGTTTACTGCATAAATTAATCTGACAAAGTGAGTGAGTGATTTTTAATTGAATTTTGCACCCAACCCCTATAGCATGACTTGCATCATACAATGAGGTAAAAATTGGCAGTTTGGACCTGGCATTTAATAGGGGTTCAGTGTTTAATCAAGAAAATACTGTCTGTGCCTACCATTCATACCCTTGCATTACTAGTGTGAATCAGGCTTTGGAGATGTTAAATTCATAGGCATACAACTTTCAGTGAAGACCATATACCGTATTTCTTCACCTATAAGCCGAGCGATTTTTTCAGTTTTCGACCCAAAATTTTGGGAGATTTTTCACGGAGAACGGGGTTCGGCTTATAGCCGAGGGTTTTACATTTTAAAAATATACAGTTGCTGAATAACTTTACCCCCCCGGCTTGTAGTCAAGTTAGCAATGAAGCAGAAGTAATAAAACACAACAAAAATAACTTCTGAATATTGGTTATTCACTTTTATGAAATTGGTGGCTCCTAAAGGAGCCGTTTGACGGATACGTGCAAGGGCTTTCAACCCAATGGTTTACTCGCCATCCGTTTCGTTTTCGCTGTCTGTGTCGAACTCGTTCTCTTCTATGTATTCATCATCTACTTCTGGGGTTTCCTCAGAGTAGACCACGTCGTCCTCTGTTCCGTCCAAGGCATTGGAAATACCGCAGGTCTTGAAGGATTTGACAACCATCTCTTCGGGTATCTCTGCCCATGCTTCCTTGATCCACCTGAGGACAAGATTTCTGCTTGGCGCCTTCTTCTTCCCAGCTGGGGTAAACTCAAATGGCCCAGATGTCATCCACGCCAAGTACTTTCGGCGCACATTATCTTTAAATGGCTTGTTTAGGCACTTATCCAAGGGCTGTACAACCGGGGTTAGGCCACCAGGGATAACTGCGACGTCAATGTTTCGCTGCTTCAGGTCATCTTTCACGGAATCGGTCAAGTGAGCTCGGAATGAGTCCCACACCAAAAGGGAACGCTCGGCACGGGGCAAACTCTGTCGAATCCATTCTCGGATGCCCTGTTCATCCATCCACCCTTTCTTATGGAAGGAAACACGAAGAGGATGCGGCACAACCAGATCTCTCGGTGTACGGACGCCTTTGAAGATGACTTTCGGTGGCACCTTTGCTCCATCGGCAGCAACAGCAAGAACGACGGTGAAGCTCCGCTTTTCCGCTCCGCAAGATTTTACTGGCACTGTTCGGCTTCCACTGAATTCCAGTGTTCGGTTCGATGGCAGCTCAAAACGCATGGGTGTCTCATCCATGTTGTAGATGCGGGATAAAGGGTAGTCGGCGCGTCTTCTTGCTGCAATGACGAAGCGATGAAAGCACACAATGTTCTCTTCGAGATCGGCGGGCAATCGCTGGGCCAGAGTTGTTTTGGTTCGCATGCTGACCGAGTGGCGTCGTTTCCATTTCTCGTACCATCCACGGGAAGCTTTGAAAGCAGGATCATCGGAGAGCTCTTTAGCTTTAAGGCGAAGGATCAATCCACTCACCGCAATACCTACGAAAAATAAAATAACAATCTTATTTTGCTGCGAGATAACCGTAGATTCGTGACTGCAGCACTCTTTTCGTGACATGTTATGAAATTGTCATGACAACAACATATTTCTGACCAATCAAAGTCTCTGTTTCCCACGCACTGAAAGACGATATCATTCAACTCTTCAAAAACTCTTAAAATTTTAGACAGAAAAGTAAATACCAACCTTGTTCTCTTTGCTGTGAAAACCACTCCATCACTTGCTGGTCTAGTTCGGGATATTTCGGAGTGAAACGGCCCATCGTCGCACGTTTTGCAGACATCTTCAGCTCTCCGGAAAGAATAGTCGCCTGGTCTCTTCTCCAGCGTCGTACCATGGACTCGCTTAGTCCATATTCTCGAGCGATTTCCGAGTTGTTTTCTACCGCTTCAGCTTCCGCGATAACTTTTATCTTGAAAGCCATACTATACGAGGAACGGCGTGCTTTAGGCATGATGATAAAAAGTGACAGCGACGAAAGGTATACTCGATAGATTGATACTTTGAAACGTTTAACTGAGATTATTATTGTTGTTGTGGTTAATCTGTTGTCGCGTGGTAGTATTTATACAGTTCGTTGGATCAATTGATATTCATATCTCTTGATTGGTTCGCTTTTTTTCTTTTGTGTTTATTGTAATTCATTAGGTTTTGTGTTTAGTGAGTCAATTTCTTATGTTTTCCGTGAGGTTCGCTTGCTCAAATGGCCAGTTACAATCAATAATTTCGCTCTCGGCTTATAGCCGATGGTTTTACCTTTTTTTTTGGGCAGCTTGAGTGTAGCGTAAAGACCCTGAAAGTCAGGGTCTCGGCTTATAGCCGAGATCGGCTTATAGGTGAAGAAATACGGTAATAAAGAAGCAAACTTACCTGTGAATCTACTAAAGCAGTCAAAGGCAGGTAGTCAAATAAATCTGTGAAGTACTTCCAAACATTTGCATTCCCATATTTCCTGAGGCATTCATCATAAAATCCATATACTTGGGTAATCTGACGACTCTCATGATTTCCACGTAAAATGGTTATTCTATGAGGAAAACGAACCTAGAAAAAGAAATATACTATTTCATGAGCACAACCTACTTGTCAAATGCCAGCCCAGACAAAAACAAAAAAATAACAAATGAGGAAACTTCACTTTCACCAACCTTTAGTGTTACTAAAAGGGTTACAGTTTCAACAGAATAATATCCTCTATCGACATAGTCCCCCATGAATAGATAATTGGTGTCAGGGGACTTTCCTCCTATTTTAAATAGTTCCATGAGATCATGAAACTGGCCATGCACATCTCCACAAACTGTGACTGGACACTTCACATCCTGTACATTTGATTCTTTGCTAAGAATTTCTTTAGCCTGGAATCAATGAATCAATAAAACAGTCAAAATTGCATGTTTCTACAATCTTGAGGTCAAAGCCAATAAATTTCAAATGAGTACACTGGACATTGTGAGAGAGCATATAATTGCTAACCTGGGATTCCTTTATAAGTAATTGAATAACACTGTCACATACATATGCAAAAAGCAAAAAATAAAAGACACCAAGGTATATGTGGGGTTTCGAAAAAAGCCATCAACCAGCAAAACTTGCAGTCTATGTGAGGCAAAATCCCCACACATTTTATCTAAAATCAACAATGTTACAGTAACTATTGTAATTCATTTGCTCTGAAAACTGATTTGATCTGAGTTGATTTGCAACCATTTCCTATTCTTTTTCAATGCTGGTCACAAACACAAGCCAAATTTTTCAAAACATATTACCATCAAAGGTATATTTATGTAAAGTGCCACTTGATAGTCAAGTTCAACTTGTATTTCTGAGATACTGAGCACAGTTTTACAAGAAGTAAAGCTGAATCATGAATCTGGGAAAAGGAAAAACTAAATAGTTTGTTCTCTCTCTAGCTAGCTAGCTCTTTGTGTGATGACTCTTTCCTAAAGACCAATCCACTCAAACTAAATGTATTCTACATGTTCTCCTTCTGGTGGAAGGATGCCCATGTGACAAATCATTCATGCTCATAACACCATGAAACTGAACACTCCATATTTTGTTGCTATTTTCTCCTGAGAAATCAATTTGACAATAAAATTAATGACCACTTACTTAAGGACACTTTAAAAATGTAAGAAAGGAGGCCCTGTTTCATTGACAACTACACACTGTCAAGCTACTTATTTAATTTACATTCTACTAAATCAAAGTACACTTTTTACTGGGCAATACAATGCAATAAAGCCACAGGGAAAGTTGGGACAACCGAAGGAAAGCTTATGGACCACAAGCCAAAGCAAGTGATTTATAAGCTTTGCAGGTGTCCTTCCAACATCCCAAGTGGCTTCACCATTTTACAGAGCCTGGAAAAAATGCATTCTATTGCTTTTATGACATAAATAGTTACAGTTGGACTCTACAACCTGATAAAGCATCTGCTTGGATACTGAATTAACTGATCAGGTGATGTGTACTGTGTTTGTTATATTATAAACCAGGTTGGAGAGAAAGTAGTGTGGCCAACGAGAGAACACTATTCTTGATAAGAACCTGGTACACTTCAGATAATTGGGGTAAAGATCTTGCTTAGTGTTAGGATCTCAATAAAGGAAAAGATTTCAGTCACAGGTGGGATCTTGTAAAGATCTGTTATTCTATGCAGACTAACACTGACTTTTATCGGTTATTTAACAGTAATACAGTCAGATTCTTATTAAAAAAAACTTGCCAACTCCTCTCTTATAATATTATAAGTGGTTGCAATAATATGCAAGATTTTACACGGTGTGCCAAACTCAAATATAAGCCAAACATAGAAAACGAGAGAGAATGGAGGGAAAAGCGTAAAAATCAGAGTAAAATAAATTACACAGGTTTGAATCGAAACTTTATTTCTGTTTTGAAAATAGTTGATTTGTATATTAATTTATGAAATCTAAGTTTTGATGGAAAGGAAAGCAAGGGAGTTGACTAAAAGGTTGATCCATATTTCATCAACGAACTTGGCAAATTATGGCAGGGCCAGAAATAAACTCGAAAGCATGTACACGTACCATGAAGTCGGCGTTTCAAAACCGTAGAGGTGTTTCGATCTCTCATAAAATTGACGCTGTGAGCCACGAGGTATGGTCAAATTTAAACAATAAAAGTAAATTGCGCGCATACTGCAATATTCAACGAAATAACGAGCTGAGCTTGATATACCTATCTGTATACACATAAGGAATGATGTAAAAACGACTGAACATAAGTCTGATCACAGATTTCTTACGTATGAATCTACCACAAATTGTTTTGAAACACATAACCAAGAAAAAGAATTCTGCAATTGCAAAATCGCAGCTATAAAAACAAGAAAATCCAAGTTTACCTTATCACAGAGTGTTTTCACTTGAGCTTCGCTGAGCTGTTTGCATTCCATTAACTGCTCTATCCATGATTCTAAATCTTTTGCTGTCGCTTTGTCGTCCACCATAGTCATCGAAAGTATCTGGTAAAGCAGAAAAATTATCCACTTATTGATTTTCGTACATTTCGATACCCAAATAAAAATAAAATGACTAAAGTTACTCAATAATGACGACTACCTCCGTAATTCAAATGTCCTAAAGTAACTATGGCGGTCGCAAAATTGACACCGGCGACAGCACATGTACGTAATATACCAAATATGGGCAATCCATCCATATTTGTCACAGCCTCTCCCCCTTGGGTCCAGTGCTTCAGCGTCGAACATTGGTGTTGTCCTTCAAAGACGCGGAAAACATTCATAACGTAGAGTTTTACTTTCATTACCTAGATTTCCTGGTGAGTATTTTTCAGCTAATTCGAAGAAAGCTCACTTTTATTACGTATAATCTTAGTTTTGTCCTGTCTTTGTCACCTGTCTGTGATATCACGGTACATAGTATGATATGAAGTTTGCCATTGCAAAGCGGATATTTTGTGTTCAGGGGGCCGGGATTTGATAAAGCTGGGCTTATATTAACACCATTTAGGTTCAGGCAACCAGTTTAGCACGTATGAAATTTTAGAAATGTTTGGTTCAATGGGTCTTACTTGGGGAAAGTTATTCTCGAGTTTCGTCGCTTGGGACGTAACTTAACGCGAGGAAATGCTTGGTGCTTCTGCGCTGCATTTAGCATCCTGTGGTTTTAATATAAAGCTAGATGCTCAATAGGAAAACACGAGAATAATCGATTGAAACAGATAATAAAGTTTGATCATGAATTCTGTCAAAATTTTTAGAATACTTCCGAAGATATTGCTCTGCTCGGATGTTCATGTACGCTGCTGGCGCTAGCTTACGTGGTTAATTGATTTGACTTCCTTGGCCGTGAGCCATAACCCAGATTACGACATCAACAGCAGCTTACAGCTGTAGGGGAAAAATGGCAAGAAGATTTATTCACGTGATAGAAAGAAAATTTCCTGCTCTTGCAAATATTGATTGTAGCTTTCAATGGCTGTCAGTGAGACAGGAATGTGCTGTTACTTTGGGAGGTGGGGGGGATGGATCATGGGGGAGGGGGGCACTGAACATTACCTCTTCAGGCTCTCAGTTAACTGCACAACATGTTTCCCTTGATAACAGGAGACAAGCACCATTATGCTGTTCCCTCTATTAAGTATTACAGTTCTTTTACTTGTGTTCTCTTTGCAGGCTTTACGTGACAAACTGTATAATGTCTTATCCTCCATATGGTGGTGGACCTGGATATCCTCCTGGCGGGGTAAATACTGCTCAATGTTCTTGTGATGCATGCACTACATACATGTACTTCAGTGGATTTGTGGATTATCTAAGCATTTCCTTGCATTGGACACCAACTATGACCTAATGAGCCTTTAAATGTTCCAATTATAGGTTTATAAAAGCCATTGCTGACCAATTTTTGGTTCATTTAAGATTCATGGCTCACAACTTTTGTATGAGATTTATAGAGTCTAAAACTGTTTTGTGAATTGTGAAGCCCTTTCGAATATTTTTATCTCCTATAGAATGTTGCCTTAATTAATCCAAAATGTATACTTTTACCTGATTGGCTCAATTCAACAATGATGCACAAGCATGAGGACGAATAGGATGTTATTCATCATCCTGTTAAGCTTTCAGTACATTCAAAGAGACCAAGCTATTCACTGCAAAGAAAATTTTTACCATCTATGCTCTGTACACTGCTTGACGAGATTTACATGAGCCTATGGTGACAAGGTGATTGTTTACATAAAAAACATGCAAGCATTCACTCTTTGAGCTATGTAACCCTGTGACAGCTAAGACTAGTAGTTGATTTGTCTTTACATCTGAACCACACGTCAAGATCAAAAATAAAGGAAGTGATCCTCAACTAAAGGAGCTCTTGACTGTTGAACAAATTCTCCTTTTCAGCAGGTGAGGAAATATATAGAGAACAGTATGAAGAATATGCATGAATTTATGTTTCCTTCTTCATCTTATATCTTGTTAGGGATATCCAGGATATCCTCCAACGGGTGGATATCCCCCTGATCCTGGTTATCCTCCTGCTCCCAATACAGGTTACCCCCCTGTAGGAGGGGGATACCCTCCTGCTCCTGGTGGCTACCCCCCTGCTCCAGGTTATCCACCTGCTAGTGGCTACCCTGCTCCCCCTGGTGGAGGTTATCCACCACCTCCAGGTAAGTTTCAATAAACAATGATTTGTTTTTACAGTTTAATGCAGTGATGGCATTTAAAACATACATGAATTTGCCTAGACACATAAATAGGATATATATTATGATAATATGTTCCATTACAGAAGAATTCCTGTTCCCTGATAGAAAAAATCTGTGGAGTAGGGATAATTTTTTTATTATTTATGATAAAGAGTATTCATATATTACTGATCAGTATAACAACTGCTACCACTATGTGGGTGTAGTAATTGTATTAATTTTATATGTGCAGTAGTAATCATAACTCCTTCTATCCTAGGCCGTACCATTTAAATCCCTCCAATCATGTTGAAACCCTCCATTTCACAGATTTTTCTGATTGAAAGTTTTATACAATTAGGCTATACATTTACAATTAACCTTTTTTATATACAAATTTGTTTTTGCTTTGTATCAGGAGTTGTTCCAGGGGGACCCTATGGTGTCCCTCCCCCTCCTGGGGGTTATGGCTCACAACCATATGGTCAGCCTCCTCCTCAGGGAGGTTATGGAGCTCCTCCCCCTGCAGGTGGCTATGGAGGACCTCCTCCCACTGGCAGTTATGGGGTACCACCTGGTGGTTATGGAGGTGTACCTCCTTCAGGAGGATATGGAGGACATCCTCCTGCTAGTGGATATGGGGCACAACCCCCCCAAGCTGGATATGGATCCCATCCTGGACATCAGCCCCCACAACAGAACTATAGCTCACAAGGTAAACCTATCTCCTTAAAAATTATCTATACTCATATCATTTGATGACATAACAATAATTTGATTAGGATTAAGAGAAATGTCGAACTTTAGATGTTTCTTTGTCTTGCAATGATGTGGGATGAATAAAAAATGTTGATTCCTTTGACCTACTGATTCTGCACTCTGATGCTCCACTACTAAGCCACTGATACTCTTCAATAAGCTAGGCTATTATTAGGTTAGTATATATGTTGCAGGTAAAAATTAAATTCAGGTAAAAAAAATTTTAACCTAGGTTGAATTTCAATTCTCTTTGTCTCCGAGCCCTAATTAGGCTAGGAGACAAAGGAAATATTGATTTTCAACCTAGGTTAAAATTTTGTTTTACCTGAATTTAATTTTTACCTGCGACTTTTACTGTAATTTCTGGCCAAATACTCACAGGTAATATCTCAATTTATCAGTAAACAATAGGCAGGTGTGGTTAAGTAACAGTTCTAAATGATGAGATAAAGACTGCTTTGTTCTTTTGCAGCTCCTACAACACACAGTGCCCCTCCACCAACAGCTGCCTCCTCTGCTCATCAACAGAAACCAGCAAAGCCTGCTGCTCCTTCTGCTCCTCCTGCTCCTCCTGGTGATGTAAGTATTCAAAAGAAATTCATGTAGGATTTAAACAACCTTGGGCATTCAGGGCAGTCAGTATTTGTTCAAACAGGATTTTGACTCATTGATAATAAAGAATTGTGTTACAGGTTTTTCATGTCTTTGTAGTTAAAAAAAAAAATTCACAGTTAACTTCACTAAAAAAAGATGAAGTTAGTGTTATAAATAGGTGTGAAAGTAATGCAGTAGTCTTGTTGGATGTGTATTATGTCAAAAGTAATTGAGGATGGTGATTTATTCCACAAAATCTACAGATATGTCAATCTGCTCAAAACTACTGTTTATAGGCTAATCGTTTTGATAATTGTTCATCATTGTTTTATTAAAAATTACTTTCACTGTTGATTTTGGGCCAACTCTATAGAAATCCCTTAAATCGAAATTCCCCAGTCCAAGTTTTGGATTCATGCATATTTGCATATTTTGTGGGTTAATAAAAATGACTATTCTAATTGTAAAGAGGCTCATTAACAAACAAATTCAAGGCTTGATAAAAATTCATAGATTGTTATTTTTGCTCATCAGGGTGGTCCTCCAACCTCTCAGATGGCTTCAATGTCTTTAAAGGCGGTAAGTTTACATTCTTTTACATTGGAGATCTTTTTATGTATTGGCAGTGAAGTTTTAAATTCGAACAGGAAAAAAACATGTTAGTTTTACATGCACATGGAGCTGTGGACAATATCATGTTTTAAATTTTCTGGAGTCCAAGAGTGATATGGCCTTTGGGATATAGCATTATTTCCCAAACTAGGGAAATAATTCTGAAGCTATGTTCTGTTACAAAGGTTTTTTGCACCTTTGATAAAAAAGATAAACAATGCAAAACAAAACAGACACACACCAACAAATTAAAACATTACAAGTTGCCAGATAATTCTTCTGCCATTTTAGTCACTAAAATGTTTTTCCAATACAGTTGCAACTTGTAATGATGCAATGGCTTTTTTACTGCATTGGTATCTTATCCTTAAATTTTTTTGATTACCTTATATATTATTGTTGGGTCAACCCAAACTTCCCTAATTTTTCTGCTCACTGGATGCTACTTCTCTGTTCAAAATCCATCCTCGGAGACCCAGAGGCTGTGGGTTGATTTCAAGTTAGGGCACGAAGAGCCCCTGGGGACATTGTGTTACAAGACTAGTTCCAAACGGTCACAGTCGTTCTGCCATCTGATTGGTGCCAGAAAACCTTTTTGTTTTTCTGCCTAATCAGAGTGAAGTGTACTTTAGAGTCCTTTCGTGTACGTTAAGACGGACATAGAGAAATAGCCCAGTTGCTCGCTATGTTTGTTTGGGCCATGTGACGGAGATTTGCTTGGGGTGAAAAGTTTCAGTCTCAGCACACAATGTAAGAGAAATCGATCAGATTGTCTGCAAAAATCTTACCGGAAATTACACTGAATACTTTCGCAGGTATCACTAGAGAACGTGTTTTAAAGTCTGCAAGGTTTGTATACAACACAATGGTTGCAGTCATTGATATGTTGCTTTAAACGTTAAACGAGATTTAAGCTTAAATCTTTCCAGATTTTTTGCATAATTTGCTGTGACTGAAACTTTGCCAATCCCGTGAAGTTATTTCGTCGCATGGGCCACGCAGGTATGTCGAGCAACTGGCGCTTTCGCCTCGTAGCTTTCTGCTTTCTGTGCATGCCAAAATCTAATCTTTGCTTTGTAGCAAAGTTGTTCACAATATGGCTTAAGTTTGTGGACGACCTCCAGCAAGCGCCTAGAGAAAGCTTAGCTGTGTTTCCGGTTAGCTAATTAAAATCTGAACAAAAACTTATTAATGAGAACATCATGGGAAGGAGAGATTTGTTCGGGCTGTTACCAAACGGGTTTGGAAAGAGTTAAATCTTTCAACTGCTGCCTAGAGAGTTGAAATTCTTGAGCGAGGAAGGCCACGGATTCTCTTCTAGTCCCTTGGTCATTGTCATTTCACCTCCTCTGTCGATTGTTGAAGACCAAGTTAAATACCTTTGATCATTGGGAATCGATCCGAGACTGCTTTCAATGGGAAAAACAAAACCAGAGACCAAGAAATATTGGATGGAAAGGGCGGGTTTGCCTTATTACAAGTGTCAGCTTAATAGTACAGGTTCATCTACCCCCATCTAATAAGTAAAAGTTTCTACGCTTAGCTTTTCTTTTTTTTCAAGCGAAGATGAGATTAGATTTTGGCATGCACAGAAAGTTGCGCGAGCACCAGTAGCTCGACATACCTGCGTGGCCCGTGTGATGAAATAACTTCACGGGATTGGCAAAGTTTCAGTCAGAAAATTATGCAAAAAATCTAGAAAGATTTAAGCTTAAATCTTGTTTAACGTTAAAAGCGACATATCAATGACTGCAACCATTGTGTTGTATACAAACCTCGCAACGATTTCTCTTACATTGTGCGCTGAAACTGAAACTTTTCACCTCAAGCAAATCTCCGTCGCACGGCCTAAACAAACATAGCGAGCAACTGAGCAATTAGTATTTGTCCGTGTTACAACACACGAAAGGACTCTAAAGCACACTTCACTCTGATTGGGCAGAAAAACACAAAGATTTTCTGGCACCAATCAGATGGCAGAACTACTGCGACCGTTTGGAACTAGTCTTGTAAGACAATGTCCCCAGGGGCTCTTCATGCCCTAACTTGAAATCGACCCACAGCCCCTAGGTCTCCGAGGATGTTCAAAATCATGCTTTGTTTTACAACCTGTAGCCCCCCCCCTTAGAACAGGGGTATTATGTACCTGGTCTGAGATTTTTTTGCAAGCCCTTTGCTGAAGTGTTGTTGGTGTGTTGTTTTCTTCTTTTAAGAAATATGGTCATGGTACCATTGTTCCAGTCTCTCCATTTGATGCAGAAGCTGATTGTGAGTTGTTACGGAAGGCCATGAGGGGAGTAGGTGAGTTCCCTGTTACTTGTTCTGTACAAAAGGGGCCTATCATTTACCACCCTTTCACTTATAATATCAAATTATCAATTATGTGTACTGTATGTGAAACAGTTATGATTTTTTGTTCTGAAAAAATGTTTTTTTTGGTTTGTTCTAGGGACTGATGAGGCTGCCCTCATTGATATCCTTGTGAAGCGTAGCAATCCGCAAAGAGTAGAAATTAGGAAGAGGTACAAGACTATGTTTGGAAAGGTAGGTTGATTAATAGTACTTCCTCCACAAAGATCTGTTGTAACTGCTCATTCATCCTTCTGATTTCTACATGGACATTACTTTCAAGTATGGTGAATCTAAATTGTACAACAAGTGGTTTCATACGTAGCATCTTAATAACACTAGGCCTGTTTCAGGGAATCAGTTAAATGGTGCACAATGCCAAACAGCAGGTTAGTAGTATTTGAGTGAAAAAAGGAAGGAGACTTGTGTTGGGGCTACTATTGCAGTTTTTGTTATTGTTACCCATTTTTAATCTGGAAGCCTAGACCAGGTTAACTTAATGTTTCTCCTAGTAGCTTTTTGTACTTTGTTGAGCAACCTAAATATTAAAGTTTCTAGGTTGGAGCTCTGGTTGGGGCCTACTTTTTTTTTCTTTTACTAATCTTTTTAACTGCCAAGAATGATTAACATCTCTAGAAGCAAGTGTAACTGTAAGAATTTATATCTCAGTAACATTGAAATAAATTAAATGTTGTGTGTAAATTTCATTGTTAGGATCTCATGAATGATCTAAAGTCAGAGCTTAGTGGTAACCTTGAAGATTGTTTGTTGGCACTGATGGAACCAACTGCTTTGTATGATGCAAAGTGTCTGAGGCGTGCCATGAGGGTCAGTGTTCATTACTATTGTGCTTGTTAGCTGTCAGAAAGTGTTTCAGTCGATGAAATTAAGGGTGTCTGGAGTATGGAGACTCAGAGCAGTAAGTCATATTGACAAGATGCTATAGAAGGTTACAAAAACAAGTACAAGTGTAGCTCTGTGTGACATCGACACGGATTCCACTTGAGTCTGAGTCAGAAATTGGGACATTTTGTGGAGACTGGGGCAAGTTTAAGGCTTGGTAGCTGAGGGATTTGAGAGAAGTTGTTGAATTTGAGCTTGAACTCAAAGATTAATGCAAACAAGATTTTCTTACCCTCAGCAACAGAAATGTTTTTTTTTTCCTGTAACATATCTACTTACTAGCAAGAGATTTTGTCCCTGATACAAGTTAACCATTTTCCCACTGGTTTGAATTTGTGCTGAGATTGCAGTGCAAAAAATGAATGGCAGTGACTTTGTTTTGAAACAAGAGACATGGAGTATATGGTCTCAGAGACCTGTGGCAAAGACTTGTGGCCCAGTGTATCCCAACCTTTCTTCGCAGTATTCTTGGACTTCCCTCCTGCCAAAAGGGTTTGTGGGGATATTTTCAATTGGCAATTCCATATTAAGTGATTAAAAATGACTGCTTTTGAAATCAGAAAGTTTTTTGCGAGATTGCCACTAGAGTTAAAAAAAAAAGGGCAATCCTCAGACCTCAACATTTGGAAGGCCTTTTTGCGTCTCTTCACAGTTGGTCACATAGCAATGAGTTTGCAAATTAACTTTCAGCATACTTCTGGCTGAGAGGGCATCAATCAATCCCAAGGAATTATTGTTTTAGGTGACATTGGGTGCAAAGTTTAAAACTGACTGTAAAAGGATGAGGTTAAGGGGTGAATAATTAAAGTGTAATGAAATTGTTTTGTAACAAATTGCATTCAAAATGATTTGCTTACTAAATCCAGGTGATGAGAGATTTCACCTACTAGACATTTCTCGCAGTACCTGACACGACAATGGCTTGTATAACCCTCCTCCACCCCCCTTATTTTTTCATTGGATTTGGTATATGTAGTTTTTTTTTTTTTTTAATTTCTCCTCATTTGTTTGCTTGACAATTTAATACAATTGTTAAGAAAATTCTCTGCACAGTTCAGTCCAGGGAGTTAAAGGGTTTATTGTGGTTTAATGTTGCTTAAAACACTGGAGCAAGCTCAAAGTCACAAAAAGAGCCAAGAGGGTTATTGGAATAAAGTTGTTCTTAAGTACTGTGTAACTCATGAAAGACCTTGAATTGATCATTTTTTCTCATGATATCAGGGTGCTGGAACAGACGAAGAGGCCTTGATTGACATTTTGTGCTCTCGCTCCAACCAGGTCTGTGTACCCCATTTTTAAAACAATGCCAAAATCATTGAAATTCAGACATAGTGTAGTTCCACAAAAAACAATCACAACAAGAGGTTACTTATGAGAGAATAGACAGAATTAAACTTACCAGGAACAAGTATGGTTAGAGATGGAGAGAATAAAAGGAACTGTGAATTTGCAGGGGTGTGTGTACTGAGGGGTTCTGTTGTATGTTTACAGTGTGATTTGATTGAGTGATGTGAAACTAAACCCAAAGTTGTATGTCAATGGCCAATTAGAGGAAAGGAAAATATCTCAAAAAGCTTATAACAGTGCAAAACAAAAACAAGCAAACTGTTTGAAGCAAGTGGTTTTCATTTTGAATCTGATTGGTTGACATGTTGCCAATAATTTAGTTTTCTGGACCAATCACAGATGGGAAGTAAAGCAAAACTAAAGCAGTCCTAGGTTACCTGTGACACTCAATTGCAAATCGATAAACTCAAACTGACTTTGGGATTTGTTCATTTTGAAGGAAATTGCTGATATAAAGAGGTCATACACAGAGTGTAAGTATAAAGATAGAAATTTGGAAGAGTGCTTGGAGGTTACTGTTTATATATTTGTCTGGATTTGAAGTCACGGGAGGTGACCCAAATAGCTTCGCTATGATTGAGCTCTTGAAATTGTCCACTTTATGTACAGTACCATATCTGCAGTGTATAGTATCATTAAATAATTATGGTAACTTAAAAGGAATGACTGTTAAAGACCTTTTTGTAAAGATATTCTTGTAATTTTTTAGAAATGCAAAGCCAGCTAGTAGAGTTGTTTTCCCAGTTTTAAGCTTTGTTTAGTACCATTGTCTTAAATAAGAATTTTGCGATAAGCTTATTTTTCATTTATGAATTTTTTTCTTCCGTTCAAATGCTGTTAGAAATTGTGCAAGTCTCTGGAGCCCCCCTCTAATCACCCACCCTGCCCCCCCCCCCTCTGCCACTTAATACTGTTGATTTTAAACTAAAGGGAATTTTTCGTAATGATAAATTTCTGCAAAGCCAACCAGTAGAGTTTTTTCCCCAGTTTTAAGCTTTGTTTAGTACCATTTTCTTAATTAAGAATTCTGTGATAAGCTTGTTTTTCATTTATGATTTTTTTTTCTGCTGTTCTAATGCTGTTAGAAATTGTGTAAGTCTCTGGAGCCCCCCTCTAATCACCCACCCCACTCATCCCCCCTCTGCCACTTAATACTGTTGATTTTAAACTAAAGGGAATTTTTCGTAATGATAAATTTCTGCTCCTGCACAGACTATAAGCGCGACCTTGAGAAGGATTGTATGAGTGAGACAAGTGGTCATTTCAAGCGGCTTTTAGTGTCAATGTGTCAGGTAATACTCTTGGTTTTACCTTTGCTCAGTAGAGTTTTCTTTCTTGCACTGTATGTGATAAGATGTTGTAAAGGATTTACTGCGCATAGTTTCATTGTGATCCCACTTATACTTATGGACTGTCATACAATAATACCCTTGGTGCAAAAGGTCATTTTCTAGTTTTGATTTTGTTTGTTGTTTTTGAGAGGGTAATGTCTGACAACAAATTAAGAAAGAAAAAAAGCAAAACAAAAAAAAAAAGATTCTTCTACAAGCCGGGCTCTTGAGTACTACCAGAGCTCACAACTGGTTTTGGGAATACGAGGGGATCGGCTCAGCTTTTGACTTCACAAGACCGTCAAGGAAATATAGATTTCAGAATAAACTTATTCAAATTTAAGACTTCCTATGAGGGCGCCAAACTTGCTTCGACTTGGAATGGTTCTCGCATGGGAAAGGGATATGATATCAGGGAAGGTGTACATGTAAGTCAAATGCAAGCTCCTGGTCGTTTTTGTATCGTATTACACAGGGCAATCGAGACGAGACCAATACTGTTGACATGGCCAAGGCAACAAAGGAGGCTCAAGACTTATTCCAGGTGATACAGACTTTTCATAGGAAGTCATATACTTAAAGCGTGAGATTAGATGGCTGTTACAAACGCATTTTGAATCGCGTGATACGTTTCACACGACTTTGTGATTTGTGTTACAGGCGGGTGAGAAGAAGTGGGGAACAGACGAGTCTCGATTTAATGTTGTTCTAGCGTCCAGGAACTTTCCACAGCTGAGAGCAACGTTTGATGAATATGTTAAGGTACGAACAGTTTTATCGGCTCGATTTTTACTTTCCTCTCGCGTCTGCTTTTAGTTATTTTCCGTTCCTCTTTTTGGGGTGGGAGCGTGGGCTCCTGTTCTCACAGGCGGCCCAAGCTCTCTTTGAGAACCACACAAGGAACACAATTTGCATATCGATTTATAAGGATTTGTAGGGGATTTTCTACAAGATATCCATAGAGATAGTTTAAAGTGAAAATATTAAATAAAAATGGCTTACCTTATTCCATACGTGTGTTGCTTGCTCCTGGTGTCGTTATTTTACCGATTTCACTTGATTTAAGCGGTTTTTTTGAATCCTGGTTTTTTTCTTCTTAAAGAAGAAGAGAAAACCAGGATTAAAAAAAACCGCTTAAATCAAGTGAAATCGGTAAAATAACTACACAAGGAGCAAGCAACACACGTATGGAATAAGGTAAGCCATTTTTATGTAATATTTTCAATTTTAACTATCTCTATGGATATCTTGTAGAAAATCCCCTACAAATCCTTATAAATCGATATGCAAATTATGTTCCTTGTGTGGTTCTCAAAGAGAGCTTGGGCCGCCTGTGCTGTTCCGTACGGCGATTTGTTATCGAGCCTAAAACTTTTATGTAAGCTATTTGTATTTTGTGGATTTTCTCTTTTCTACGAGTGCAAGTACGTTACAAAAAGCTAACTTTACCGTGAAAAGACAACAGAGTGACATGTCTTCATGCATTTACTATTGCTGGGGAGTTTTTGAGTGTTAAGCGAACTGTCAACGCAGGCAATTGCCGGAGGGAGGACTGGACGATAAGAGGAGGAAACTTTTCATTTACTTTGAACGTTGCAATTTAATTTCAGATTTCTCAACGTGACATTCTAAATTCTATCGATCGCGAGATGTCTGGTGATTTGAAGGCGGGTTTTAAATGTATTGGTAAGTATTGCTTTGACTAGTGAATTCAATGTGTATGAATGAATGTTACACCAAAATCTTCAAATGTTTCTAAAACTTTCTTTTTAGTACTGTGTGCAAGAAATCCTGCTGAATACTTTGCGGATCGACTGTGGAAGTCTATGAAGGGGGCTGGAACTGATGATGCGACGTTGATTCGCTGTGTTGTTTCTCGTTCTGAGGTGAGAACTTTTCCAGTATTGTTGTTGCTTTTTTTTTCGACAGTGTCACCTGTGTCGCTGTGTTTGTCGATGTTTTTATCAATTTATCTAAGCACACTCAGTGCAGTCAACAAGAGATAGTGTCCCATTAGTTGTTGGTCTGCTGAAAGCTTAAAAGAAAAAAAAAGCTTCTCAACAGATAGCATCCCCCCGAGACGATAGCGGTCACCACGTGTGAGAATCCTTCTCCAGCGACGTAAAATCTGTTAATCGAACTGATTGCAAATGTCCTCTGTTTTTTTTTTTCTAGCGCGATCTCGTTGAAATCAAGCAAACATTTTTGCAGAAGTATCACAAAACTTTGTTCAAGATGATTGAGGGAGATTGTAGTGGAGATTACAAAAAACTCTTGCTAGCAGTTGTTGGAAGGAACTGAAGGCAGTTTCACAGTAAAAAAAATCATGAACTTCCAGTATCATGTTATAATTGCGAATAATTACTCAGCTTTTAAAGGGAAAGGCTCTGCAGTGATGATTTGATGACCTTGTAGTTCTTAGATAGTCAGACCGTATTGGCGCCGTTTGCCCATTGCCCACTGCTGCTGATCACGTGAGATTTTAAGGTGATTTGAGAAATTTTCCCAATTGTTGGAAAGAAGTAAAAAAAGGAAGCTTTCTAGGTCTTCTCTGGAGAAACACAGCATAACATGGAACCTGTTTTTCTTTGGTAGCTTTCACCAAACTTCATTTTCACGGTCTCTCTTCCGAATCTCTCACCTCTGCCAAATCTTTCCCTAGCTCTCCCTCCTACTCTCTCTCTCTCTCTCTCTCTCTCTGCCTTCAAGGACTTGGATGCGAGAAGGAAGAGAGACCCTGGCAATTAAGTTGGTTATCACATCAGTAAAAGCAAAAATCCGCTTACTCCTTTCTTAACTAACCTCTGGCCGTTGAAAACTTAGGCGAGGCCAGTTTTTAATTTAATGGTTTGGGCGAATGAGACGTATTATATTCTCCAAGTAATCTAATTGAGCCAAGGATGGAATAGGAATGAACTTCTGGTCATATTGTTCTGAAAGTAATTTTTTACGCACTAAATACATTTACTATAACGTACAAATACAACGCTTTGGAACCTTTAAAAATTACGCAGTTAGTCTCTAAACTAAAAGGTAGACAGAATATATTATCCAATCTAAGTTATTTCAAATAGTTAAGTACCCTTTAATACTACATTTCTATATTTCGTGCTAAGAAGATCTTTTGGAGGTGAAAACGCTAAAGTGCGTTTTCAAAAACTACAAACTGATCTAAGGTTTGAAATAAAAATATTGCTCATCTTCGGTTTAAGAAGCTGTCACTTTCACGTGTGACAGAGAACAAAGAACACATAGAAGTCAAAGCAGCGGAGCTTATCAAGTTATTGATGACCAAACACAGATAACTTCACAGGTTCTAACAGGCCGAGGTAAACCAAAACACGTGATACGGAGGAGCGTTTCTTCGCACGTGCACAGAACGTTCCCCACCGGCGCTCTTGGCATATGATTCCCTTTATTTTACAAATTCTACTTTGACGTGGATCTGAGTGGCTTTATTTTGCAGCGGTAAACGAAAGTATTCCCAAGTACCGGCATAGAAGAAAAAACATCGCTCCATGGATTACGAAGGATTTAATTAAATTGTGCAGGAAAAAGAAACACCTTTACAAAAAAGCGAAAAAAATCCAACAATGAAAATCACTGGGTCGCCTTTCGTACTTTGAACAATTCTTTGAAAAAGAAATGCAACTCAGCCAAATGGAGACATCTTGAGGCACTCGCAGATAAATTGCAGGTAGAGAATAATTCCAAGCCTTTTTGGAACTACATGCGTTCAATAAGAAAAGGAACTAACGACCTATTGTTCCTAAAAGATGGAAGTGTAGAAATTACTGGGGATCAGGAGATTGCACAACATATGAACGCATATTTTGCATCAGTATTTACACAAGAACAAAAGTCTCTTCCGGAATTTGATCATGTTCTCGATGAAAAGTTGCACAATGTAGTATGTACACCTAGCGAAGTGGAAAAACATCTGAAAAACCTAAACATACACAAGTCCCCAGGTCCTGATAAATTATTGCCTCGTATCGTAAAAGAATGCATTGGAACTATCTACGTCACTTTGTAACTTATTTAACAAGTCGTTCCAATCCGGCTCACTACCCAACGACTGGAAAATTGCACACGTTATTCCAGTCTATAAAAATGGACCAAAATACAAAAAGGAAAACTATCGCCAAGTCTCGCTAACATCTATCGTCAGTACAACGGCGGAGAAATCATTGTGATATTAAATGAAATACTGGTAGAAATGATGAATGTGAGTTTCTTCTTTTTTAACAGTGTAGAACGAAAAAGGAATCTTGGAACCGAGTTAGTTCTACTTTAATCAGCTCAATGCTAAAAACTCGAAGATAAATGATCACCCCACTTTTTGATAACTTAACTTGTCAGAAGCGATAAGAAGAAGAAGCTGGAAATGCTTCAAAGATAACAAGCTAATATCAATACTTCCCTGTTGAAAGGAATAGTTAACCTCAGGGCTCGATTGTTCAAAGAACTGATAAAGCCATCCAACAGATAAATCGCTATCCAGCGGTTAGGTGTTATCAAAACGTACTACGCTATCCAGCGGATTGAAATGTATACACTGCATGGCGTTATCCACCCTTTGAACAACCGGGTAAGTGCATTACTTCGACCCGACCCCTACGCCAAGAAAGAGTATTGCCCGCGTAAGACTCACCAATCAACTGCTGCTCCTAATATGGCAAGTCAACATCCTCTTCATCTAGGTAACCGCCCTGTTATGTTTCGAGGGTCATTACGCTGTTGCGAATGCTAAAGCGATCAGTCGTACGTTGTTCACGCATTTTGGGCACACAAACTCGCAGACATGTACGGCCAGTCGGCGATCTCACAACGAGAACAAGACTATCATAACCTAAGAAGACAAGTGGAACAGCTCAGGAGAGAGAGTAAAATATCCAGAAAGAAAATCTCTGTTTGTTCCGAAGAGTAAGTGGGACTGTTTAACTAGTTGTTGGTCACGCGTGAAGCTTATATACTCAGCTTTTAAAAGTTCTGTTTATTAATTAATTGCTTTTTTTGCAGTCATTGTTCCTATTCAAATGAAACGCTCCATAATGTAAGAGGATCAAAACCGTTTTGCATGTGATGTTTCATTTCTAGAAAAGTGGCGTTCGTGTAGAAATTTCTGTCCTGCTGACAGTAAATCGCGATTAGGAAGTCGCAACATTACTGACATGTTGCCCGATCGCACTGTTGGTAAATTCAAAGTGAATTTTAATTTGTATTTTTCCTTCACAGCGTTAAAATTGCCTAACACTCTGCCATCAGTTCTTAATATGTGATTTTCCGTGGCATAAATATCATAAGGCGATATTGATGAATTGTAGAAGTTTGTTCCTTTGGAAACACAACTTGACAAGTTTCGGTTTTGATATTGGACAGGTTGAAAAAATAACTTAAGACATACATAGGTTTTACTAGATCTTTCGTTTGTAATTTTTCCGATCTTGGGCTCGTAAACGTGCTACAAAGAGAGTTAAACAAAGAAAAGCAGCCGGTTATATGATTACCCTTTTCACCTGTTTGAACTGCAGTTTTTAAATATTGTCGTCAGACATATCATGTGAGTTGACATACTGGGGTAGGCCATAACAAAGATTGTAGAGAGTGACTTCCACGCCTCACAAGGACAAGTCACAGTTCGTTGGATGAGGAATTCTGACGAAAATCTGTACCCCACTGCAACTGAATTTTGATGCTACAGTAGGTCACACAAATTCTAAACAGTCTGAGTTTGGGTAAAGGTGACAAATTGAAATATGGTTTACAGTGACTTGTTGAAAGTAAACCCAAAGGAATTGGTCAAAGAGACCCAGTGTCCCAGCTATAAAAAAAGTTTAACTCATTCATCAGCTTTACTGGGTGGCTTCATGTTGTTTTAAATAGAAACAAACAAAGCAGAATTTGTTTACTGGTCTAGAACTTCTTTGTAAGAGATAATTTCCTTCATCCACATGTCTTTTATGTGGAAGGCACGGTGGCCTCATGATTGGTGCACTCGACTCCGGATTGAGTGGTGCGGGTTCCAGCCCCGGCTGGGGACATTGTGTTGTGTTCTTAGGCAAGACACTTTACTCTCACAGTGCCTCTCTTCACCCAGATGTTTAAATGGGTACCGGCAATTTAATGCTGGGGGGTAACCCTGCAATGGACTAGCATTCAATCCAGGGGGGAGTACAAATACTCCTAGTCGCTTCATGCTACAGAAACCGGAGTTAAGCACCAGGCCTGATGGGCCACTGGCTCGTAAACAGACTTTACCTTACATGTCTTTTATGTGTGATTCCAATTATACTGTAAGGAGAAATTAAATGCCAGTCATTTGTATCAAACCAGACATTCAGAAATAATTTAATTAAGGAAAGAACCATTATCATAGGATGTCCTTGTTATGTACCAATCCAATTCACGGACTACCTGCACCTGTTACATTTCTTTTTCATTTGTATTAAAACCTTTCCCATTATTTTTTTTTCTGTATTTTTTATAGCCTTTCTCGATTCTGCCAAGAGAAGAGATCTGATGACCCACTACTGGGAAAAATTCCAAATGCAAACAATCCTTACAGAGAGATGGGGCGATGCTCTTTGCTATGATGAAATTTGCCTCATTGGAAGAATATTCATCTAATACATGGAATTCAGAGAAAGCTATTTGCATAGGAGCAGCAAATTAAATAATGCTAAATGTGGACTTGCAGAGACGTTTGGAGTAATGACAATACTGTAGCTGAAAATAATGTGGTGTATTATTTTTGTAATATCACTTTAAATATAAACAATGATATCACTTAAAATACATTTAATAAGTACTTCTTCCTAGGACAAACTTATTTTTATCTAATTCTAGAAAATAGGTATTTAGTTATATTTTGTAAAGCAGGTCAGAGTTTTCTACTTTGTCAAAAATTTGTAAAAAAGTGACTGTATCTAGTTTGAGGTTCTTCCCTTCACAAGGTGTGTATTACTAAGTAACAGCAGTTAGACTTGGCAGATCTGAGCTTACATAACACAACAGGAGTTCCACAGAGGAATTTTTTTTTAAAAAAAAGAGGAAATTTTAAAAAAAAGAGCTTTGGAAAAGTCACTAGAATTAGAACATTGTTTTAAAAATCTATCTATCAGCCAATGATTGAACCGGTGGATGATGGTATCCTAGCCTGTGTAAAGACAACTGGTGTAACATTTTTGAAGCATGCGACTGTACACTGGTTATGAATAGTTTGATCATTGAAAGCAAGTGTAACTGGTTACACTTGATCTTTGTAGGGTTTTTGTCTCTGATCTGCTGGCCTGCCTTTTCTAATTTTATGCACAAACCTTATCTTGAATTTCCCCAGCCTAGCACCCCCTGAGTTTGGCACTAAATCAGATCAGCACAAATAAAACTAAATAACCTTCTCTTTATTCAAGAAACTAAACTTATCTTACAATGTCAGTGACAAACATTACTGAACTTTTCACACCTTGTAAGGATTTAGCATTGTTTTTACTTGATATGCATTTATTACTGATGGAATTGCATCTCATATATTGGAACTGAATAGTTTTCAGCTTTGTTTGGCAAGGGGCTAAAAGCTGTTATATTGATATTTGTCTAGCATTTGCCATTTGCATAAATTAGTTCAGAGAAAATATATCTATGAAAAAAGACAAAATGTTGTAGGCTTTCATTAATTGCTTTAATAACTACATCCTGAAAAACTAAATTTGTTTAAAAAATAAAATATGATTGCAACTTTTGCATCTCAAAAAAGTCACAATGCATACAAGCAGCAATTGTAGTAAAGTTTTGCTCTGCAAAAATGTAGAAGTTTTGCATGTATGCAAATGTGTAATTTTGGGTAATCCTTAGTAACAATCATTTCCCAGGAAAAAGTTTTGAAGAGGCTTCCCTTCTCCCATTTGGTACTCATATGGCAAAAAGTGTCAGAAACAGAGGGTAGCTTTCTAGAGCTACAATTATGCAAACATTTTCTCTGAAATCCTTGACATTTTCCATGCATTTTTCTTCCTAAAAATGTTCTTTAATTTTAATGAAAAATATCCTCAATACGTATGCTTGACTTATTCAAATTTTATCAATATGATGTATATTTGGATAAAATCTATGATACACAGCACAATTATCTTGTGTGGGAGAAATGAAAATGGCTCCCGAAAAATACCAGTAGTTAAAATTATCAAATGCCTGTGACAAGTTCCAGCTAATAACAGTCACCTTAATGAACCCTTATTTTCAGTACAATTTGTCTTTGGATACTCCTGTGGCCAGCAAGCATTAGTCACCAATTCTTCCCTTAACCTTCCATTCTAGTTCATAGAATATTTGTAAGTATGATTAAAAAAAAGGTTCCTCATTCAGAAGACTTCTGTATACAAACTATACTCGATCTTAATTTCAGGGATTTAAAGTCAATTGGAATTCTCATTCATCCTTTTTCTATTACATATCTTTTCATTTGTACATCAATCATTTCTTGCACAGTTTTGTAGACACTGTACTCTTCTCTCACATTGATTATACCGTAGAACAAAAATCCAGAGGCAAGAACAGTCGCAATGATGCGAACCAGATACAAAATCTTGCCAAAAATGTGGTGCAATGAAAAGTGAGAGTGTTCTGCAGCAGTAAACATGACAGGATAAACTGCAAAGAGCAACAAAGCACAGGCAACAAATACTTGAAAGTTTTGTCGTCTCGACAATGCATCAATTGCACCACAAATGATTTTTTGTGTTTCAGATAAAGCTTCTCGTCCCTTGCTGCTGATAGAAAATGTAGCTTGAACTGAATCTTGAAAAGATAAATGAATTTTATAAAATTACTATAAATAATTTGTACACAACACAAGTTAATAAAAGAAACCCCCTTTAACAACTGAAATACCTATAAGGTTTCCTATCAAATTGCAAGGAAGGGGAGGGGGAAAGAAAAGGGAGAAGTGTCTACCCAACTTTGCTACCCTTCCCTCATCTGCATCTTTAAATCCTCCCTCCCACATTCTGTTGCAAAAAAACTGCACATTAACAAATGTTCACATTTCTGCATTTCTCCTTTACTACTTTCCACCTTTGGTCTATCACTCATAACCCCCAACCCTTATTCTCAGGGATTCCTGTCCCCTGCACTTTAAATTCAAATAACAAATGGTAAAACACCACAGCATACACTACTGAGCTATGGATGCATGCAGGAGGTTACTTAGCACGAAAGAAGCGTAAGAGTCATGCGAGGCGATAGCTGAGAGCGACTCTAGCTTCTTGAGTGCTTAGCAAACCTCCCAAGTGCATCCATAACTCAATAGTGTACACTGTGGCATTTACCATCTGTTTTATAACATAATAGATACATTGTAGCGAAAGAGTTTTCTTTTATTTAACAAATCTTACATGACCAGAAAAAACAAGCGTGTGTGGAAAACTAGTCTTTGCATTTGCTCATGTCAGCAGCATACACCCATGGGCAAATGGTGGACATTGAATTGACCAATCAGAGCACATGCTTTACTTTGGTTATGTTAAAATAAATATCAAGGCATGAGTTCTAAGGTTGAAATTGCTCTCGTGTTCTGTTGCCTGACTTGACAAGATTATGTAACAAAAATAAACTGATGATTAGGCAAATTCCCCATCACCCATCCAACAAGAAAAATAATTAATGGGAACCTTTATTAGAAAGGATAATTTTGTGAAAACTTTCCCATAAAACCAATCTGCCACCAGGAGGCTGACTTTGAGTTAATCATTGACTAACATTCTGCAGATGTAAGCTTAGCCAAGAGAAATAAGATAGGCAAAAGTGCAAGCCAGTTGTGAATCAAGAGTTGCCTAGTAGGTGACTGACAGTTGGTGATTAGATATGCTCATGGTAGGGGCACTCGTACATCTTCATAATGTCATACTATCACTCATTGTGAAAACTTCTTTCAGTTATCTCTTCAAATTGCACTGGATTTCAGTAACAGACTGAAAGAGGAGATATTTACTCCAAAGCTCAAAAAGCCTTTTGGTAACCTGTGAGTTATCTGTTGGCCAATAAGTAATCAAAAGTTGGTTGGAGGGGAGCTGTTCCTAACAATTACCTGAGCATGATTATTACAACTGATGATTTTACCTGTATCACCAGCTGCTGAGTCTGTTACCACAAAGGTAGCAGCCACACCTTCGTGGTCTGAAAATGAGAATGTTTTTCCTGGGACATGTCTCATGGTAACCTCGCAATGTGTACATTCTAGACTTTTTTGACCACTTTGATAAAAAATGTAATCAATGCGTTTTCCATCCTCTGGTCCACCCTCTTGAGAATCAGCTACATCACTCCTATCTCCTGAAAATGTATTTGAACTGACATCTGCTGTGTTACCATAGCAACCACGCTGTGAAAAAGACATAGTCAAAAAGGCACCATTTCCATTTTTTCTAACTATAATCGGAAAGAGGAACCTACAGTGTATAGTCAAAGGTGACATTACAATTTAGAGAGATATTTCAAAATTGTCCAAACTACCATGAGCCATGAAGCAGTGGATGGTATTTGGAAATTTTTGAAATATTAGGAACTGGTATTATTGTACAGGTCATAATATTATTTTTTCATAATAGAAGCCAAGAAATTTTTGGTACTGCACATTGAAACACTTCTTGCTTGGCAATATTGTTTTTTTTTTTGCAAACAGTGCAACAGTCAACTACATGTAAGAGTGCGTAAACAGTGATTTGAAAATAATTATTAAGAGGACTGATCAAGAAAAAAAAAAAAAGAGAAGTTGGAGCAATAAAGCACGAAGCTGAATATTAGACAAATTGAATGCAGTTACCTCATCCTTTCACCAAGTTTAAAATGGTAGAGAACCTCTCACCTTGATTTTTCCATGTTTCTCCCAAGCATCAGTCAGTCCAGTAACATCTTTGATAACCCTATAAAACAGCTGGGATGGCTCACAGTTCATGTCACCGCAAACTAACACTGCATCAGAAGGCTTTGTCAAATGCTGAACAAACTGAGAGAGTTGATATGCTTGGACTGCTCTGTGGGGTACATACTCTCCGCTTTCATTATATTCTGCATGTGTCTTAAAAAAGGAGCAGAACAATAATCACATAAAAAGACAAACAACTGCAAATCAAGTAGAGCAAAACAAATCACCTTCCAACAAATCAACAGTGTTTTTCAAGGCGATAAAATAAAGGTAACTCAGATCAAGTTGAGTAACAATAATTCCAATTAACCACCCTTCCCAGTTCCAATAGTGCAAACAATTAAGGGGACAGTAAATATTGGAACTCAGATTCCAGAGTCTGCAATTTATTGACACTTTAAGGAAGTTTGCAGTATGTAGTCACAATGTTGCAATCCACATCTGCAGTGACTAAATCCTAAGGCAAATGCTAAAAATTGATCTCAAAGAGTATCACGATTCACCTTGACCTATTTGACACCATTCTTATAATATCTACTAAATGCATATCTTCAAAATAAAAACATTTACTAACATGAGTAGCAAAGAAATGAATTGGTTGCTTGGGATGATCAATCAAACAGTATCCCACACCTTTTCCACCAAACCAGTCCGCATGGGTTATCTTGTACATATAGCCATTAAGAGTATACCGGTAAAAATATGCATCAATGATTGGATAGCGAGAGAACACACAAACTCCACTTCCGAACACTCCGCTACAAGAAAATTGAATGAAATGCATTGTACTGAAATCACATCTACTTGTAACAATAAATGATACATGATTATTTACCAACTAATAGCTCAAGATGAATGACATATTTTATTGCTTTTAAATACCTGTAAAAATAATGCGAGTATGGAAGAACATCAACAACTATTTGACGAATCAGCTCATAATCACCTCGGTTCCAAATCTGTGAAAGAAAACTTTGAATAGTATCAAGAGGCTCACAAGAAAATTGAAATGCATAGTTGTAAGAATTTCAAAAATTTCAAGACATTAACCAATAAGTTAAAGGCCCTTCTCTTAGCATTTGAGACTTCACACCTCGCAGAAAAGGTCTGCGGCAACTGCTGTGGGAAGGAGATCTCCACCTCTTACTGATATCTGCATCACAAAAATCCTCCTTTCAAACTCTCATGTATGGAAATATCAACCTCAGCTTCCTGGGTAATATTCTAAATGTTACAGCATCACAGGCATGAAAATTTGAAATCTATTTGAACACTTAGGTGGTTACCAGGTGAAAGATTTTCTCCAAGCCAAAAAAAAAAATTTTGACAATAAAGTACACAATTCGCCAACCAAGGACCAGGTTTTACCACACAAGATGCCAATCTGGTCACACAAAAAGTGTTGTTTTATCATGTGTAATCTGTATTTCAGATCTAGAGAAATTGATTCATACTTTTTGAAACATTTCAACATCTATAAAGGAAGATATTATTAGATTATATTAATAGTAATTTAACTATGCATGCTTAAAGCTTTTTGAAGGAGAAGGTGGAAGGGTAACAGAACTTAATGGTTTCAAATCCACCAATCTATGTCATCTTTTCAAATCCACATTTTTGCCAGTATCTTTAATTGAAATAATCTTGTAGTCTTGATCATTAATTTGGATGATCAAACTAATGATCTTGACCCATGACCAATTGCACATTTCACTCTAATCACCAGAAAATTTCATGTAAACAGGAAAAAATTTATTGTTGCCACTAACAAACAGCAAAGAAGTGCCAAGAAGTGGAATTTTTTATTTTCCTTGAAGTGATGTGTCTATAATCTGACATGACACTCAGGAGAAACGGCAAAGCACAAGATCAGGGAAATACAGTAGTCTGCAATTACATCCTACCTAGTAACAATTTTTAACTTACACAGATTTTGACTGATGAAATTGTAAGAAGATGAGGTAAAAAAAAGAAAAAGAAAAAGAAAATAAAATAAAAAAACAGAAGGGAACCATGTCATGGCCAATCATGTCAGAGTCCACTGTGCTGTCTTGCTACCAGGAATACAGTTATCACCCTGTCTCATCATTGTTTATTTATTTATTTATTTATTTATTTATTTAATGATTCGCCCGAGGGCAGGTGATAATATAATAGGACTCTAGGTCCCCTATAAAATATTAACACCCAAACCCAACCCCGAGTATGAAAGAGAAAAGTGGAAAACCAATCCCAACCCAAAGTACCCATTAAAATATATATATGTATATGTTTTTTTTACATAAGAAAACAGAAAAAGTAACAACAATTAGCAACTAAAAATATTCATACAATTAACTCTACGACATTTAAGACAAATTAACTTATATGAATGAATGTTGTCTCCATCAACTACCAATTTAAGCCTTTCAAAGAAGAAATACTTTGTTCTGGCAGAATGGTCTCTGATATGCTCCTCAAAGTTTATCACAGACAATTTTTACTGTCATGCATTAATGTTTGTGTAGATATAGAGATTGTGAAAACACAAAACATAACAATAAAAATACTTTTGCATATAAAAGTACAAAAGAGAATTCTATTTTAGCTTTAACTAAGAGTTAAGTCATTTGTTCACTATATCAGACATTTAGGGTGGGAGTACCTTAACAGGCCAAGCTTTTGCCTGTTAAAACCTGAAATTTACTGGACTTTGTTTTATGACCAACTGTTACCAAATACATTTGCAGGCTTCATCTCTGTAATTTAATACCTATTGTTTAAAGGACTACACAGCCCAGGTTGGAACACATTACTCTTAGGGAAATTGGTACTTGAGCTAGCTCTCTTAGACCTCACCCACATGGAATGATTGAACCCATACAGCCCACTCCTCTATCTCCAACTTCTTCTAAGAGAGCTTGCTCGAATGGCAGGTTATACATATTTTTTTCATCAACATTAAAACAGTAAACCACATTTGAAACAATATTCATCACAAGTAAGAGTTTGAGTAGTACAAGTACCTCTTGTAGTGTAACCACATCATGATGGCCTTTGGCGAGTTCCTCAGCAATGAGCACTTTACGTTCTTCCCACATTTTAGACACATAAGGAATACCCCTGATAATTATTGAACTGGAGTTATTTATAAATAACCAGTTTACAATTTGGCCATGTATTAAACTAACAGTTTTCAATTGTAAGAAGAAGTGATCACCTGTAATCAACCGAGGACATGTACATGTGTGTATTTAAAAAGAACCTTCTCAAAATTAACAGTTAGTGTTAAAAGAGTTAAAACGAAATTTATGAATTTTATCAAGCTTAAGTTGATCAAAACAGTTCCGTAAACTCTGAATTAGCAGATAATACCAACGGAACAGCAAAAGAAAACTTATTTTCTAGTTAAGCGAAAGAAATTTGGTTCCTACTGTTTGCCTGGGCAGGTTAACTTTTCGATATTTTTGAAAGAACGACAATAAAAAGAAAATGGAATCAATTGTAAAAAAACTGAACAGTTGAAACCAAGTACTTCACATATCAGTAGGAAAGGATCGATTATAAGGAAAACGAACAAAACACCTTCTTACCAGCAATTCAAGGTCAAAACGTGTAAGTTTGGCTCTCGTTCGTTGCCCGCCATGTTTAGAATGAGTATCACTGTCAGCAAGCACTTCGAAAACAGTTGGACATTCATGTAAATCACATGAATCACTTCACTCCAGTTCCAGCCCAGTCCTTTGTGTCAAAAAGACCATTCGACCGATAAAATCTTGGGGACGAGGTTGCTCTGTCACAAAGACTACAAACACATTCTTTGCCAAATAACTCAATTAAAACCCTGCCATTTCTTGGTACCTAATATAAGTCTGAGTAAAATTGAAAACTGGTTTTTTTATAAATGATCAAAATTGAAAACTGTTTATTTTAAAATAACTCAAGTTGAACATTGGTTATAATTGCTTCACGCAGCAAAACTGAGCACAGCTTCACGATCAGTTGTCGACTTGTTTGTGTAGCCGTGGAGAAGTTGTGCTTCCTTATGCACGCTTCCTGCAGGAGAATCGTTCTGAAGAGTGTTATGTGTTGTCATAAAGTGCATATTTGAGAGGAATAAATAACGAAGAAATACAATGAAAAAAGAGGGAAAGAGAATGAAAATTTTAGGTGGTAGTCCCTCGTTGAGAAAAGACATTTTTGACAACTACGTTGGACCACTAAGAAAAAAATATGCAAGGAGTAGAAAACTTTGTTAACAGCATGTCGCATCATGGAGGATAATAAAGAAACATTCAATTTTCTTGTTAGCACTATCGCTTGTAGATGACAGCTACGTCCTGAGAGCAATAAAGCTTCTATTATCAAATTGCATCGTTTGTCTTATTTTTATCAAACTTTTGCGCTAAGTATTTCTATAAATTTGCCCCAGGGTAAGTCTATGAAAATATGCCGTTCTTTCAGCTTGTTTAGTTTCTGTTATTTAAACGCCAGATGTTGGAGGCTGTTGGAAAAAATCAGTTGGAAACATGAAGTAACTGTAGGGCTGAGCCAGTGTGGTGAAGTGAAAAACTGCAAAAGTTGTGGAGTGGTAATTGAGGGCGATGAAATGGATGAATTCGCAGATATTTCCTTTTTCTGGATTTTTTCATAAGTAACAAGCCATGTAGATCCAAAGAAGGAGCCTTGATCTTAAAACCTAGAAATCCTAACCCTTAAATATTTGTATCACAAGATTCGAAGTAAAAGCAATCTTTACGAATTTATGGTCAGAAAAAAAATTCAAATTTAAGCCGGAAGCTTTAGCCGCACTCCTAATGTAGTACGAATTTTATCTCAGCGTGTGGCTCAGCTGTTTTTTTTTTTTTTTGGCTCAGCTGTTTTTTTTTTTCTTCCTACATGGCGTGGGATAACTTGTCATGTTTTTTTTTTTCTTCCTACGTGGCGTGGGATAACTTGTCACGTTCGTAAGCCATTATGTTCGCCAGAAAAAAAGTATTGATTACACTATTTAGTCGAAGTAACGTCAAAGACGCTTAACGGCTGTCATAGTTCTTGGCTGCTTGTCTCATAAATTAATGAATATCACGCACTTCACCTATCACCTACTTCCAAAGAAAAGTAAAAAACTTCTACGCAGCAAAACGACAAATCAATATGATCTTAGCTTTCATTGTTACAATCGTTTCTTAAAAGGTGCTTCCCGCACAACTTAATTCACCAAGAAGCGTAAAAAACAACAAGAAAGGAGAGAAAAGTAAAATATCCCGCGCAGATAGATACGCTTTATAATTCAAGAAGAGTAGGGTAAGTTCACATTTTCTATGGGAGGAGACTTACGGGAGAAAATGATTTAGTGAATTAAGATGTTGATGTAATGGTAGACGAGATATTTCATATTTCCATCCCGAAAAAAGAGATTTGACTTGGTTAATTGAAGATCTGAAAAATTTAACTCAGGATAGGGATGCTTTCGGAACTCGTTTTATTTGTTTACGTGCGAAACTGAATTAAAACCCTTTATTTTTCTGATTTTCTAAATTTCTGCTTGTACTTAGCATGAACAACAACAGTGAAAGTGTTAACACTACACAAGTAAACAGACCAGTCTGTTTTAGTCATATTGAGCCAACAGCGGTTAGATGGATCACGACCTCAGTGTACTTTCCCCTGGTGGTTTTGGCTTTGTTTGGTAATGCTCTAATCATTTGGATCGTGTACAGGAACAGACGTATGCGTACAGCTCCTAACCTCCTAGTCGTCAACATAGCGGTAGGTTGTTTAATATTAGTTAAAAGTCATATTATTAAAGAAAGCAGTTTTTCTTGTGTTCAGTAGGCTTGGCTCATACGTTGTTCAGGTAGCCCGAAGGCCATGATCTATAGGTCCAAATTGTTAATCGTGATCAAGAATTGAATCCGGCTGTCTCTTTAATGGAGGGTGGTACGAAATCTTTTCCTTCTTAGTCTCATTCAAATGGGAACGCCTGATCCTATATCCTATTATCAAGTGACAACATGAGAAATTGGTAAGACGGCTCACTGCAAGGTCTTATATCAAAATGCAAAATACTTTATGGCTTGCATGCTACTGAGAGATGCGGCATCCTCACGCTCAGCGATTGAAATATCCAGGTTCGCTCTCTGGCTCAGGTCGAAGTATCGTATTTAAAGACACTTTGATTCTCTACTCCCAAGTGTACAAATGGGTACGAGTGTACTCAGCTATCCTTGAAACGTGACTATCCAGAATAACATACGGAGAACTGGATGTCCCTTGCAAGGGGGGGGGGAGGGGTGGGAAGCGATACTCCTACATCATTATGGAGAAGACAGGGACGAGTTCTGTGAAAATGAACCTGTAGGCATGTGAAACTTGTGTGTCGGATGAAATATTCCTCTATTTTTCAATTTTCAGGTTGGAGATCTTTTGGTAGCATTTACAGCCATGATACCGACGGCATTCTATTTCGTGCGAAATACTTACGCCTGGGTGAACGACGGACCCTTCGGCCAGATATCCTGCAAGTTGCTTCACACCTCCCAGGCATCTTCCATAGGCTGTTCGATATTTTCTCTCACAGTGCTCTCATTTGAGCGTTTTTTCGCGGTCGTATTCCCAATGAGGAACATTGTCACTATAAGAGGCACAGTTTGGTTGATCGTCGTGATTTGGTTTTTCTCGTTTGTGCTTTCAATGCCACTCCTCTACGCCTCAAAGGTGCGCATCTCTGATGGCGTTCCTTACTGCATCGAAAACTGGGCCCCGATTTTCGACCCTGTAAAAGCACCTGCGATTTACACAGTCGTGAGTTTTGTTTTCTTGTACGCTATCCCATTGTTAGTGATTGCAGTGTTATACTCTGTAATCGCTGTGAAAGTTTGGCGTAAGAAACCACCTGGAAACACTATTGCCCCAAACCACCAAGTTCACCGAGCAGCGAAGAAAAACGTGCTTAAGATGTCTCTTGCCTTGGTTCTGGTATTTGCGTTTTGTTGGATTCTGATCCACGTAAATTTGTTCTTGACTGATTTCAGCGATACATTTGGATCATGTAGAAGTCTACCTTGGCTGAGAGCTACAGGATTTTTACTTGGTCATGCAAACAGTGCCACAAACTGTTGCATTTACCCACTTTTTAGCCAGGAATATCGCCAAAGTTACAAAAAATGCTTCAAGTCTCTGTTTTCGAGATGTCACTGAGCCAAAAGGTACCCACAACAACCCTGGCAGATAAGATTTAGACGTTACTTACACTCGTCTGGAAGGCTGCACTCCGTTTCGCAAAATTAGACAAGCTTGTTTGTTAAGATATATTACTTTCCTTTAAAGCTAAAATTTTCAAACTTTGTATTACAATATTTAATTGTCATTTTTAAGGTATTTCACAGTTGAGAACAATCGAAACCGCGGAAAGGAAAACATTTTGTCAAAACCACGATTCGGCGTAAGTAACTCAACCCAGTTTTCAATATTTCCATCAGTTCAGTTTCAGAGGCACAGGTATGTAATTAAATTTCGGCGGCTTATCTGCCTAAATGTAAATTGTGCATAAACAAGTTAAAGAGCGCATTTCAATCGAGCTTGGTAGCACAAAAATCAAAGTAATTACAATAGCCAGTCAGAACAAAGGAAAATATCATAAGGAGCTAATCAGAATTCAAAGTAAAACAAGCAATATGAAGCGCGCGAAAACCCTAGGAACCACGCAAGTCGCCAACGGTTCTGGTTTTCTGATTGGTCGAGAGGGTGGTGCAACATTTCTAGACCAATCAGTGACAATCGTGAAGCAAAACCACTGTAATCCCGAATTATTTTCAACACTCGATTGAAAACTGCTCCAAACGGAAGTCAGTTTTGAGCAGACCATAATTATGATGTGATAAAATTTTAGTCGAAATCAACTAAGTCTTATAAAGCTATGTTCTTTGAGGTGCTAGTGTTAAAAAATTTATAAAATGGAAAGCCTCAACAGCTTATGAACAGATATAAATTGTAATAGCTTTATAAGACCCAAGTAAAAAATTTAAATTAACAATTTAGCATTTTAATATATCGCATCGAAGAATACATTATTTATGCATTCGTGCGAATTTTAAGATTTTTGATCGTGACGGCCACAGGTGTTTCTTGAAGCTTTCTCTAATTTGACTTTAATTCCAGCTGAAGTGTCAGTTTTGGCAACACTACACTTATTTATGGTATGTAAATGTATAATTATGTAAATGAATCTCTAGTTGAATATCTATTATGTAAATGAATCTCTAGTTGAATCCCTTAACATTTAGTTCCAGCTGAAGTGTCAGTTTTAGCAACACTGCACTTATTTATGATACGTAAATGTATAATTATGTAAATGAATCTCTAGTTGAATCCCTTAACATGCAGTAAAGAATGTAGCGGTAATTAACTCTCACAATATCAGTTCATGCGTCGTTACTTTAGGCGTGTATAAAAACATTGAAAAAAAAGCGGCCGAACATTATCAAAAAGAGTGCAAGACTGTTTCATAACTACAACACATTAGCATTAACCGGAGAAGTTAATCGACTGCCAATCGAACGAAGCAACTGTTCTTTGTCTTGTCTAACATCCTAAAGAACAATTGCTAAAGAAACTAGACGTAGATGAGTTTTTCCAATGATGAATTAAGGAGATTGGGGTTAGTTAACTATGGTTAAAAACAATACTTCACCAATTCCTTGACGCTCACACTGGCGGTCATCAGCGTTTTCCTTCTTGATTTATTTTTATCAATTCTTTCGACGTTTTAAACTTTCTCCTTCTTTTGATTAAAGGAGGTACGACATATTCTGTGCATCCTGAAAACTTCGACCTAAATATTGAGCTCAAAGCAGTTAAGGTATTCAGTTTATATCCATAAAAAAGACTCAAATTATCCATACATGGCTACTCTAAAGATTAAAATTAAAGATGTTTCCCAACTCCCTTCGAAAAGGTCTGTTGACCAAACAATAGATAAACGCCTTACTCGCTGAGGAGATCACTGTGGAAAAGTGCGCAATTCGTGCTGCGATCGGAGTGATGTGTAGTGAGAAAAGCTGATCAACAATGAGCACAACTGATGCAGGAAAAAAGCAAGTAACAGATACGATTGAGACGATCAGGAACGTTTTTGTAAGGCGATAAGTTTTACTGGTAAAAATTTGACGAGAATTAACCTGAGGGTCCACTTCAAATTGTCGCCTGTGGATGGTATGGAAAATGATCCGATAACAATTGAAAGTCAAAAACACAGGAATTACAATTCCCGCAAATAGCAGGCTTACATTCCAAATCGATTGTTGAAGGTTGTCTTTATATGTGACATAACATCCCAGATATTCGGAATGGAACTAATACTCAGCCCACGATGCCATCACGGGAAGCGTCGAAAATACAACCGAACCAACCCAGATTATTATCAAGACGAAAAAAGAATTCCCGGGGACGAATGTTTCATTATATTCCAGGGGCTTGACGATCTTGTAATACCGCTCAATGGCAACATATAAAAGGGTAAAAATAGAGGCGACTTTAGGGAAATCATTGAAAACCCCATAAACGGAACAAGTTGTGTCGTGAAAGATCGTACCCGACTCCATTATAATAGCACCTATCGTAAAAGGTAATGGAATAGCCACTGTTAGGATATCTAACAATGCTAGGCTAATAACAAAGAAATTTGTTGGATGCAAGATCCAACTATGATTATATACTAAGATACATATTACAATGTTACCTAACAAGGTGGTTATTGCAAGAACGGCTAGGATAGACGCTTGTGCAAAGTCGGAGAACATTTTCAGAGAATCTAAGTCTACAGTTGAATCACAACGGCTTTTAAAGATAAATTGTTTGCGCGGAGAGGGCTAGCATTCTAGCGTCAAACAGCAAAAAAAACGTCTGTTGCCCGTCAGTTGTGCTTCATAACATGAATTGGTAATGATTCACCCTACTTCTTCTATCTTCTCAGCTTTTTTCGCTGCCTTCTGACACTCACTTCCAATTTAAACCTTTCTGAGTACCTTGTTCATTTGGATTATTCACGTGGAGTCTACACAGGTCGACGAGGCCTGAAAAAACGATCAAAAGAAAGTGGTAAAAATATCTCGCTGAGCGAACTATTTCTTACAGGCGAACATTTCCGTCATTATCCATTATTGTTTGACGTATTTAACGGCTGTTGACAATCATTACATCCTCGAGACTACTAATAGTTTAATTCTTTTTTTGTTTAACGAAAAGGATCATATTTCGTTTTATTCTATTTTTTTAATTTTGGACTTCCTTGTGAATTGTAACTACTGAGAAAGGCTTTTTTTGCTTTGTTTAGTTGTTTTTTACTACGGTGGCGCAAGGAAGACATATTGAAACAACTTTAATATTGTTGAATGTTTGCCAAAATTACCTTTTGAAAACCAGTTGTCAATAAGGTTACGCCGATCTAAATTCAGGCGGTAAATTTTTTTCATAAACCGTTCGAGAGAAAATGATGCTTAAAAGAATGCCTTTTTTTAGGATCTAATTTCTCAAATCTTGTTTCTTGCTATTTGTTTCTTTTTGTAACTCTACGCATTCAGCTCACGAGAGGATTTCAATCTTAGAAGATAACTTTCTAACGAGGATACACATCGAAAAATTTGAGAATTTCAAGTTGCTATCTCTGGTCTATTGAAATATGTTGTAATTAACTTTCCAATTGTCTTAGATTTACCTGCCCTTTGTTCACCATTAAGACTTTCTAATTTACTTATGCTTTCGAAGAAATTTTTACCTTAGAAGCCACACGAGGCGCAATTTTCCCTTCTCTTGGTAATATAATGCAGCAAAAGCTTTCTTACACAAGTGGACTTTGAGCTGTCTTTGAAGAAATATTTTACAACTTTGGGCTTTGTTAGTGGTTTTTCGTCACTTGATGAAAGACGTTAAGAATAGAGAAACCTGAACCTTTTCCAAGACTTGGTCGTTCCCCGCAGAATGTTATGTCCGCTTTGTTCTGCTAGACTTCCCCCTGGAGGCAGGAAGCAGGTGTACCTTAATTTTTCCGACGCCAATAAAAAAATTTGAGAACCAATAAGCGTCGTTTATTGCGGTTCAAAGGAATAGTTTATTTTCCTTTTTAGTGCACATCTTTCATAAACGTGACAAGTTTTTCCAGCTTTGGATGTAAATGGCTTGCGACGCGCCCTTCGTGTGCTCCTTGATATGACTCATTACTTTTGTCTTTCTCTGGTGCCTTCGAATATAAGCTCCAATATCAGTAATTGATTTTGCAGTAGTTCATCTCACCGCAGCGGCCTAGTTCTCCCTTAATCCAACCCTTTTCTCTCGATCTGACGTGACTTTTGAACTCAGAAAACAAGACGAGCTACAAGCGCGGTATGATTGCATAAATTTTTCGTAAACATAGCGGAGGACCGTGCAAACTAACACATAGTTGACATACTTACTGGAATGACTTTAAAGAAACGTTTTTTATAAACGTTAAAGTTCATTTCCCGTGAAACGTTACGAAGAAAAGACATAAGTTTAACTGCCTGTGGGTCCTTTTGAGACGTAATAGTTTTATGAGTAACTGAGCCGGTTATTTCGCTAATGAAAGTCTTGTCGTGAACGAGTAAAGTTCTAGTTCTGATCAGTGGCCACTGTACGCTTCTTACCATTTTTTTAAAACACCAGAGTTTACAAATTTTTTTTTGTGCAACTATTATTAGTTTTTTTCCTTTTGCATATTTCCTCTTACGTGGTAGTTACCAACGATAATTCAATTCAATTGATTCCATCGCTGGGTTTTGAATTCTATTCCGTTAGACATGCATTAAGATTCGAGTAAGAATTTCAGGAGTTTCACTTCAACAGGAGGGTAGGTTCCTGGAGTCAATGCAGTCGCGAATTTAGGGTCTCTATAGACTAAGGATGTCGAAAGATGTTTCAGATTTCTTTGAATTCAGTAATATCGGCTTGTCAAGGAAGCAAGTCAGAATAAATTTGAAGCTGTCATCCACGCCGATCTAACTATACATTGGACTCAGCTCAGCCTGACGATTCTTGTTTTAAAAAGTCTTCCGATATTTTTCATTTCATTTATTTATTTATTTATTTATTTATTTTTTTTGATGAAAGTTATTGCCATTATTCTTCACGGAAAAATAGAATTGCTCTTGAAAATCCCAGGCAACATTTTCCTAGATCATTCAGCCATTTGAGAGAGAAATGATGTACCGCCCTGGTTTAGCGAACGATATCAGTATTGTCAGAGACGCCGAGGGAGAGATCATTTTAATGCGTACAGAAAACATTACTCAATTGCTATAAACCACCGCGCCAAAAATTTGATCCTAGGTACTTGTCACACCTCTCTTGGTTTGTAACTAAACATTAGTGTTGGAAGCTGTATGCGTGGACTCGGATCAAATGGTAGAGGTTTGATCGTACAATCGGGGAGACAGGGAATCTCTTTTGGGAAACTTAAAAACAAAAGTTCGTTCCTGCCTGACCCATTGTCTACATCGTCTGCTGGTTATTATAGTTGAAAGAAAAGACGCAATTACAAAGCAGCTGCATGGATAAGTTGGGCGAATTTACATGTTAACAACATGCTTCCAATCTTAATTATTCCCACCTACACTTTTACATTTCCTCACTATAAACAGTTTTTTATATTGTGGCTTGACGTACAGTTGTCGTTTCTTAATCCATAAAACCTTTCTCGGCAGCACAAAATTAACCTCTTTTTTAAGATGAGTACTTACAGCGACGGAAAGACAAACAGGAAAAATCCAGTTGGAATCAAAATTATTTAGTATCTCCGGCAGTTACTGTCTGCGAAAAAATTTTAATATATGATTCGTGGTCGAATCTTTAAAATGCACTTAAACCCCCAAATTTCTTTTTCGTTTAATAGTAGTTCGTTCTCAGGTCTACGGGCTAAGGCCTTGATAATACACGTAACATTCTAGGATTTTTCTAACTTTCTTTTGTCACTCGCGCGATCTGATCGCAAGTTAAAAGGCGGCAAAATGCCTCATTACCATCGATCAGGCAGTTTTGTATGACAGAAGCTATATTTCCTGATGAGTAACAAGAGCAAAATCATACATATAGGCGATTCTCGATCCGATCGCGATATTACGACCGTAACCAAAGTTTTACAAAGTCTTTCCGGTATCTGAGCCTATGTTTATTGAAAAGTACACTTTTCTTGTGTTTCTAGATCATTACTAATCTCCCCAGTAGGAACTGGACGACTAAACCTCGATCATAGCCCGGTAATTTTACCGCTTCTAAGGTCATCAATTCACTTGTTAGTCTTGAGTGCTATAAAGACAAGGTATTGCATTCTCTTGGTGTGTTGAGCTTCTTTCGCTCTTCTAATGCAAGCCAATTTCTCTCGTGGGGAAAAGGTTTACATTGCAAAATTGAGAAATACGTCATGGAGAGAAAACCTCTTTGTTTCCGTTTTTCTGGAACAAAACTGTCCGACCCAAAAAATTAATTAAAATGAGGAATTATCTCCTTGTCAAAAACACTTGTTTAATCTAACGTTACAGAAAATCTAATGAAATCTATCGAAGAAGTCCGCTGAACTTTCATAACTCCTTTTTTTTTTTCTAGCTTCTCCAAGAGAACAGAAGAAATTTGTGAACAGAGAAAAAATTAAACTGTTCATGGCATTAGCTAAAAATTCCAACTGAATACGACGGAGGAGTGTGTACTGACGTTTAAACACAACAGCTACGGAACCTGCTGGGGTTAAAATAAATCTTCTCAGCGAGAAGGGAAAGATAACAACCATTCTATCGGAAAACCTGTCATGTTGGACAGCACGATTTAGGAAAAAAAATGAGTTAATTCATTAAAAGCTGGCTAAATAAAAGGGAAGAACCAATTGCGCCAAACAATATGGATTGTTGAGTAATGACGCAACTGTGTTCATTTAGTGAAGGGCATTAGCTTTCTAGAACAATGAGAGACATTCATTTGGCAAATTAGTGAGAGTAATGAAGTACTGCAGACGCTTTGAGCCAAAATCGATAACGTAAGACATTAATCTCGGTATTCTTTACTGAAAGGATTAAAAAACGGTTCTACAAGGACACCAATCTCAACCGTGTGCTGTCTCTTATGAGACATTATTCAAGTATAAAAGCCACAGCATCAGAGTAACGTTTATCAGAGACAATACAGAATTGCAAGATGTTCAACAACAGCACAATTTTTGCTGAAGAAAACCAAACAGATCAGACTCAATACTCGTCGGAAAGCCAGTTTTGTTCCTTTTTACAACAAGTGCAAAAGGGAAGCGACATCTCTTTTCCAGACTTCAGAGCGGTCTCTATCTTCATAGCGATTGCGAACGCTCTCCTAGCGTTGTTCGCTATACTCGGAAACATCGTGACAATCGCAGCTTTTTCTCGATGTGTTCAGTTAAGAACACCATCTAACTTACTCTTGCTTGGTTTGTCAGTCTGTGACTTGTTAGTTGGGTTAGTTACTCAGCCTGTTTTTACAGCCGAAGTCGCTTTAGTTGCCGCAAACTCAGACGTGGCTTGCCACCTAAAAGATCTTTATGTCATTTTCTTGTTCTCATTTTCATCCTCCTCAGTGATGCATGTTTGCTTGATCAGCGTCGAACGTTCATTTGCCATAATGTTCCCTTTTAAACATGAGCATCTTGTGACAACCAAGAGAGTTCAATTCCTGTTGGTAGTATTTTGGATTTTTTGGGCGTTGGTGACCGTGTTCACCAGACGCAATCATGGTGCAGGCATCATTGGCTACTCACGCATAGCGTTCATTGTTTTCAGCGCTTTGGTGGTGCTTGTTTTGAACATTCGACTTTGGATAGAAGCTCGAAGACATTCTAGGAAGATTGAAAGCTCTACAGGAAACCCCAATACCTCTACCAATGAAGAGAATTGCACGCGGGCACAAAGAAAATCCTTGCGCGACAGCAAGGCAGCTAAAACAGTTTTGTTAATCATCGGATTCATGGTTACATGCAATTTACCACTCATAGCAACATTCACTGCACGTAAGTTTTACAATCTACGAGGACGAGTAATGACTTTACTTTGGTTCGCTTCTAACACAGTCTTATTAATGCCTGCCATATTAAACCCAGGTGTTTATTTCTGGCGCAAAAAGGACTTCAGGATTTCTGTGAAAAGAATGTTCGGCTGGCAGAATGCTGTTGTAGCACAACATTGAGAAACAAAGTGGTATTATTCAAGATGAAAGAAACCAAAGACAAGCATTTGTACCACAAAGGGTGGTCAATCCCCTTTACGAGTATAAGCATATAATCTCAATTAATCTGTAGCTCTTGCAATTGAATAACTAGCTCTTCACTGAAAGTGTTCCGTTGACTAGGGTTTAAGCCTCTTAGCGTAGCACGTCACTCTCAAAAAGCGGGAATATTGGTGGATAATAATGAATCCACCAATAGGGGAATCCTTGTTTACAACATTTGCCTCATTAACATAAGCAATTCAGTTTCTGATGGAGCTAAAAATAAATCAGTTCTGAATATCGAAAGGTCAAAGTACGATTAACTCGGCCAATGAATACGAGCCTGATGCATTGAATACTTTTTGTGCTACACGGGTTTAAAAACTCAAAATTTTACATAGAATGTATGAGCTCATTAGCGCTTTTGCCACCCAGAAATCTTGCAGTTTTTGATGGACTATTTCTCCTTGAATATTACACCCAAAGAGCTAAAAATCTCACCATGTACTAAGGTTTTCTAGCTCTTTAGCTGCCTGAAGTCAATTTGTATCTAACATGCTTCCTTCTTTACGCAAAGCCGTATGCAATATGAGCAAAAATGTAAACAATGACGTCAGCATGAATCCGCCAATTACGTGAGCAGTCAGAATACGCAGCTTCCTTGATGATCGTACTTTACTAAAGAAAATAGGGACATTGAGACTATGGACTAACTAATTCCTTTGTGGATAGAGGAAACACTCCAGTTGAAAATGAGAAGTTATGCGTTAAAAAATCTCCATTTTTGTTTCGCGTAACTTGGAAGGTAAGTAGCGGTGACCGAGCGCATGCGTTCAGAGGACAGTGTGTTGCAACCCAATATGATCTGATATAACCTATAGAGGAGATATGGAATACAACCTTATATCTTACTGAATTATAGGAAAGCTCAACATCGATATGGAATACAACCTTTTATCTTACCGAATGATAAGAGAGCTCAACATCGGGGCTTATTTCCCAAAAGGGAATGAAGTGCTAAAACTATAACCCGTAGTACACAAAGCTGTGTAATGAGCATTTCTCGTGTTTCCCAGATCAAGGAAAATAAATTTGCGATATCAATTAATTCGAGTGAATTTTCTAGTGCCGCGTGCGGAAACATGTCAAAACATTTTGTTGTTGGAGCAAGAATGTGCTTTCTTGTGTACGAGGTTTACTTCTTATCGAAAATTTGAGCGCATGCTCTGAAGGCAGATTAGCATAGTATATACGGAAATAAACAGGAATCGTGTATGCTTCCAACATGTTAAGAGATACTGGGCTTTTTGTGATACCATTTTCAGGGAAGCACGCGAAAAAGGGCTGGAATATCGATCTATCAAAAAATTAGAATTTAAAAATGACAAAACCATCAATTTTGCGGCCACCTTTAAAACCGAATTTCTAAGGAGCAGCGACAAAAGTAACTGTCAATTTCTCGAAACGACATTTATCAGTTGTCTTTTTCCATGCTATTTTCTCGAAAAAGGAACAAGTTAGTTCAGAAGAGCTCACGGATGTTACCAAACAGTCCTTCTAACGGTTTTATTTGTACAGTTCAAGGGTAAATGGAGATTTTGAGAAGGAAATTACGTGAAAAAAGTTTATATTTCAAAAGCGTCTCAGCCAGATAGAAGTAGTCTTCCCTGCACGGTTTTTAACCAGTTTCTCGGGCTTGTTTTCATTGTATACCAAGAGCGCTTGGAGAGAGGAGATTAGGAAGATTAGTGATTGAGACCAGACAAAATCTCTGACGAACCCCTTCCTGATCAACGTCGCACGTAGATCAGCAGATCAGTAGGAAGTTTAAGATGTCACTAAAAATCTTTTTCTCACCTTGCTTTAAAGATCTTTCACAAATTCGCTTGTTCTTGTTCGTAAATCGGCGGTAAGCCTTTATGTTCTTTTGCCCACCTAATAGCCGCTGACTATGGCTTATAGATACAGGCGTCTCCAGTGTCGGTTCACTTGTAAAACTCCCTACAGAAGTCTACCGTGAACAGTTTGACCAAACGCTTCGGAGAATAAAACAAGTTTTACAACAACCTCTCGCCGAGTGCTGCTCACTACTTTAATTTTAAAATTGTTTTTAAAATTTTTTCAAACTGAAAATTGTTTAAAAATTGGTTTAAAGAGGTCTTATAAAAAGCGTGAGAAAGATTTTTTAAAAATTGTTTAGCTAACACACAAAAGCTGAAGGTACGCGGGTTTTTCACGAAGCGAGTTGTTAAGAAGCAAATAGATTAAAAATTTTTTTTTTAGAGGATTTACGGATTTGGTTATTAAATCACAGCGGACCTGCAGATTTGCATTCCCCATTCAGTCCCCTCTTTTACGGTAGCTGGAAGCAAGTGTATTCAGAACAACACTTGAAAAAAAAAAATTATAGGTAGAAAGTCTCGAGCACATTGAACTATGTAATACACAATTTACAGCAAAGTCGCATGATTTTAAACGACCTCTAAATTTATGATTCGAACAGCCCAAAATCCAACGCATTTTTAAGGAAAGAGAACTTGCAGTAAGGTGCTCATTGCCGTCTGGCTTGCATTCCAACGGCATTATGCAAACCAAACATCCTTCTCGCAGAGACCCTGAACTCTTTTTTGCGCCAGAAATAAACAACTGGGTTAAGTATAGCAGGCATTAATACAAATGTGTTTGAAGCGAACCAAAGTAAAGTCATAACTCGTCCGCGCATATCGTAAAACTTACGCGCAGTGAATGTTGCTATGAGTGGTAAATTGCACAAAACCATGAAACCGATGATTAACAAAACTATCTTAGCTGCCTTAGCATTTCGTATGAATTTCCTTCTCATGTGAGTATCTGCATTTTCGGTCACGGTCTCCTGCGACGTCGAGTGACTTTGTAAAGACATCTGTAACGAGTGTTGAAGCATCCTTGAAATCACTTCAGAATGTCTCCGAGCTTCCATCCACAGTCGAATGTTTATGAAAAACACCACCAGAGTGCTAAAAATAACCAACCCCATGCGTGAGTAGCCAATAATACCTCCGCCATGCTCGCGTCGAGTGAACACGGTCAGCAACGTCCAACAAATCCAAAACACAAGGAAAAATGTTGCAACTCGACTTTTGTTTAAAAAGCGATGATGTTTAAAAGGGTGGATTATGGAAAATGTACGTTCGACGGTGATCAAACAAACGAGCAACATCGACGCAAGTGAGAACGAGAATAGGAATATTACATAGAAATCTTTGAACCGGCAAGCCACGTCTGAATTTGCCGCAACTAAAGCTACTTCGGCTGTAAAAACAGGCTGAGTAACTAAACCAACCAACAAGTCACAAACTGACAAACCAAGCAAGAGTAAGTTGGATGGTGTTCTTAGTGATTCAGAGCGATGAAAAGCTGAAATAATCACACCGTTTCCAAGTATAGCAATGATTGCCATGAAAGTGTTCGTAAATGCGATGAAAGCACACACTGAGCGAAATTCTTCAAAGGAGATGTCGTTTCCCTTTTGGACTTGTTTCAATAGCGAACACAGGTGATTTTCTGAAGAAGTTTTGGACTCCGTTAGGTTCCTGGCCGATGAGTTGTTGTTCAACATTTTCCGCCTTTGAATTTACACTCATTTGTTTGACTTTTAGTCTTGTTTTATTGTGTGGTTGACTGTGGAATGCTTATGCGGTTACCCAGAGCTGTCTGATTCCTCTCCTTTCCATTGAGAGAAGACGCCGTAATGAATCAAGCTTTCTTCATTGTCATCTCATTTCACACCAATCCAGATATTTAGTTTTCGCGGGACAAAGTACCGACTTATAAAAACATCGACAAATGCTATCACGTGGAGACGGTCAACTTGCCGAAAACAAATTTCAGAGACACCTACACATGTGATGTGATGTTGATAGCATCCTTTATTGATCACTGACCCTTGTCGTCACAACACTGCGTGTCACTGATAGTTTGTAATAAATTTGACTTTATTCCGCTCAGCAGGAGAGCGTCTATTGTCTTTTTTGAGGGTCGGGAGGGGACATACAAGCATGGAAAATCTCGTTGGGTACAAGGTGCCACAAACATTGTCATTACTTCTTGAAACAAAATGTATGTCCCAAAATCCCTCCATTCAAAATCGATCGAGAGATTTTGGCCAAGTTACAGATTGTTTTCAAAGACCTCAGTTTCTTTTGACCGGCGCCATTAAAATCTTCGATTCAAGAAAGGCAGGGAATTTAATCTACGATAAATATTGACATGTTACCATCGTAAGTTGGCCGCAAGAGATTACGTCATCGATCTCATGACCATACGTTTAATTCACAAGCTAAGTCAGAGGAGGTTAAAAATATTTAGCCTCAGGTATTCAAATTTGTCGTTTGCAGTTTGTATTAATATTCTCTATCGTAAACGATCTTCATTCTCTCTAGGGTATTTTCTCCGTTTTTAGATCGAATATACAGATATTTTTGTTTGAGATTGAACCATGGCGTCCATCAAACAAAACTGACACAAAGTATGGTTAATAACGTCTTCGAGTTTTTCATTTTAGAGCAAGAGCAAAACTTGGTATCTTAAAGCCGTGTGTTATAAAAAAAAAGGAAAGGAAAAACACGAAAAGATTACGAAAGAAAGATAACTTCTGTTGCACGCCACCGATGACATGTCTGAGCCTTTTCCTGATCAGTAGAACATTCCAAACAAATTACGCTTTTAATTGTTTGCTAATGACGTTCCATCGTAGCGATATTGAGTCTGATGAAACTGGATGAGTGATTTCTGACGTTTGTTTTTCCGCGCTCTTTTCAAAAGTCTTTGTTTGGAATACCTCGTGCACTTTGTACTCAATGGAGTTTTCGTCGACGAAAGAGTATTCACTAATCCAACTTGCAGATTGCATTTGTTTTGCTGTGCTGTTAGGTCACTTTTCCGAAGTATTGATTCCGGGAGCTGAAACCAGCGGTTGTGGCCCGCTAAAATACTTGAGAGTACTTAATGTACTCAGGTACTTGAGAAACGTGTCGCTATTCAGTACCCCGGCCGCGGGGCAGAGAACACCCCTCCAGCCATACTAGTAGACAACTCGTTCAGTCCGAATTAACTCTAATACCAGTTGCTATTATGATACGGCTGTTTAACCCAATAGGAGGCCGAATAAATGATCAAGATGAGGTGCGAAAACGGTGGATGAAGAATTCAGCATCGCGCAGTCGATCACAAACTGGAAAGTTTCGTACCTCTTCTTTTGTGCACCCGAAATTTAGCGATTGTTTTGGGTGGAATTTACTAACAAAGCGCTGTTTCGCTTCGGAGACCTGATGATTATATATGTTGACCAGCGATATTTGCCGACTTAAAAAAAAAGAAACATTTGGATCTAGCATGTGCCTATTACACGTGAATAATATTGTGACTTGATAAAAATCATGGATGGGGTCAATAACCCTCTTTTAAAAGAGAAACACATGTATTCACATTTCACTTTATTCGACTGACGCAGAAATTCGAATGATACCAATTAAAATTATCCAAATGATAAAATTGGGTTATCTCTAAAGCTCTCCTAAGGGCTTTTAGATTAATTACTAAAGCTGGTTAACCTTCCAGCGGCACGAAACGTGCCAACTGTCTTGATTCGAAAATTCAGTTTGTTTCCTTGAAGTGGTGAATATCAGCAATTGCTGACAACAAATTCATTCGCTATTCTGACACAATCCGAACTACTTATTCAGTCTTCCGTTATCGAGAGTGAGTAAATCCATTCTTCTTTTGTGAAGGGAAATTCTTATTAATTTGTTGATTCACGCAGTTTTGCAATTGTCTTGATGATTAAGTTGGTTCACCTTGAGAACTGACTCTGATTAACCTTCACCGCGCACGTGCTTGCCAGATAAAGTTCGATCCAGGTGGGCATGTTTATAGATAGAACAGGTGGCAGGTAGGCCTGTCCCGATTGCGTTAGGCAACTTTTGATAATCTTTTTGCTCCGTTAGAGTTGAGAGTATCCCTAACTTCTCCCTTATTTGTGAGCAAAACTGTATAGCTAACTTTCGAGCTATTCTACCTGACCGACGTCAGCAATTATTGCATTGTGGAGGATGAAAAATAAAGCTTTTAATTAACGTTTACATGAAAACATCTAGAAATTTAGGTAGCAACTTTTTTATTTTTTGGGCAATTTTTTATAAACTTCTGGCAATCCAGTGAGCAACTTTACGGGCACAATCAGGACAGGCCTTGTGGTAGGTGAGAACTCAACTTCTTTTGTCGAACCAAAATATCAAGACCACTGCCATGATTTGTTTTGCCTCGTTAAGAAGTACACCTGAGTAGAAGAGTAGGTTAAGCAGTTGTAGTCCAAGGCCGGGCCCAGGGTATTCAACTCTTTGAATCATTTCAGTTCTTTCTGCGTTGTACTTGCGGCTGGGCTAAGGATGTAGCTTCTACTCTAGTTCGAAAAACCCACTGGGTAAGGAATATGGAAGGGCAAGGAAATCCTTCCGTCAACTACATCTCTCAGGTCATGAACACTTTACCAAATTTTATGGGACGTTTAGAAGGATTTTTGAGTTGAAACAGCTGTTCCCTCATCAGTCTCTCCGCTGATCTAAAACACACGGGCTCCGGAAGCAATTTCAGGTTATTTCAGGGCTAGCCAACCTGCCGAGACTAGACTACTTGCCCCGACACGAGTTCGCCATTTTAATGTATCGGTTGGTTTAATTTTTCACAGAAATAGGTGAAAAGTCAGCTCGCCCATGGTAACTCGGATACCCGTGATCACATATATGGGCCCGCAGCCATCTTTGCTACAACCTTAAGTTGAGCGCAAAACCTCCCACAAGCGTGGTTCGCTCGGTTTTTCACCGAGCAGTCTGTAAAGGTAGGTAAGTCATGTATAGGGACACATAATATGTAAATCGCAAAACTGGTACGACGGAAAATAAGCGAAAGATTGCCGGTTTGGGCCTCCTTAAACAAAATAACTTCATAGAGAGTAACTGCATTGTTGTCAAAGTTGATCCAAACAACAGCACAAACTCTTTGAGGCTAAGAACGGGATAAAACTTGAAAACATTTTGTGAGCGAATCTGTGATAATTTATGACGTAAATTGTTTGAAGATCTTCCGCGGGCAAGAAGCAGTGTAAAATAGTTACATAATTCTCAAGATTTAGAGACCTACCACTAGGTTACAAGAATACAAATTCGCGGATCTATGAGCTGGCCCAAAGAATTAGCAAGTATAATCAGGACAATTTTTATCAACGTTAAATTTCTTGGCTGCAAAAAGAACGTTCCGTTTCCACTTCCAAGGTGTACTGTTATTGGCGATCTAAAGTTAGAGCCTAATCGATGATCACCATTTGATTGATTCATTAGTGGAAGCTATGGCTAATGAACCAAACAAAGGTGGACACGTATGGCGATATCAACAGGCCTTTTGTCGGCTTGTCACAAATCATGGAAGTCTTGAAAATCTTTCAGCCGCGTGTAACGGTGACATGAAATAAACAGCGAGTACGACGGGCTTCGGCGGATCTCACGGTTTGCGACGTATCACGGTTTGCGTGCTCACGGTTTGCGACGTATCACTACTGGTGTTCTTGTACTGTAGCGGAGATTAAATAGAAATCAACCAGGACGAATTTCACCTTAAACACTACTGGTACGTTGGTGACGGTATAACCAATACTATCCAGAGCTGCATATTAGATAATCACCTCCCACTGGCTGAAGTGAAAACCTGGTTAAAAAATAAACAAACAAAACAGCGAACACATTCAGGATTCAAACAAAGACAATGACATTAAACAACAGACATCAGAGTATAAAGAGGAAATAAAACAAAACATTTCCAAGCCATCAACCTAAAAGGTTTTTTGTTTTTGCTTTTCATAGTTTTACCTTCCTCAATAGATCTTTACTGAGTGACTTCCCTTCGACTTTGTTGGTGGATTTCCCTGGGTTGATCTGTGCCATTTTCTGATCTTCAACAACTTGATGCTGCTTAAAAGTTCTCAACCTTTTCTCTACAGGTTTCTTTAAATGAAATGAAAAACATATTTAAATTTATGCAGGTTCATACATGTTTGAATTAGGGCAGCAACATAGCAGAACCCTTCTGACACATGAAAATAACTCTTTTCTCAATAAACAGTACTGGTATATTTTGTTTTGAGGGGCATCCCTTCAGAAAAAAATTCTTAAATAAGAGCTTTCAGCTCCAGGGCAATACTCATAAGAGCATAACTTACTGTTTTTGTCCAAAAAATTGATATATTAGACTCCTCACAGTCAGTAACTACTCAAAAGCTCTTAAATGTTTTACTACTCCATCTATTCTTTTATGATATGATATACGTTTTAGTCTCCTTCGCAGCCGTTGTTTGGGCTCGTCACGCAACGCTCCCTCCCCCACGTGGGGGAGGGAGCGTTGCGTGACGAGCCCAAACAACGGCTGCGAAGGAGGCTATATATGTTTAGACTTACAAAATATTTCTTAATAATGGTCCATACAAACTATTATCATACTTTTCAAGAATACAAACTATTTATTTTTCCTCGTTGTGGTTGAAAGTAATAATAAACTGTTTAATTGTTTATCTCATGACATATTCTCTTGAGATGTAGATCATGATGTTTCGACAGCTTAAAGCTAGTCTTCGTCAGGCAATGGGGTTGACTGCTCGCACAAATGGTAATGCATCTATAGAGTTCTAAAGTATGACGTCACGTTGCCATGGTGCTAGATTTTTCTGTTCTAAACAAACGTTTCACGTTGCGCGCCATTAACGTGACCTCTTTGTTTTGGTAACTTAACCTCCAATTATTACGGAAAACAAAACTAGCTTACGTCAGAAAGGCGGATAAAATAGATTATCGAAAGTAATTGTTGATATAATCATTCAATTATCGATATCTCTTGGATATTTTTTGACAATTTTAACGTCAGAACTGAAGCGTTCTTGTGACGGCAAAATCAACATGATTCAGTGCTTTGCAACTGATTGTAATCACGCTTCAGAAAGCCATAGCTGCCGTTTTTTTTTTAGCTTTTCAAGCAGTACAAAGAAGAAAGAAGATAAAAAGCGTTGGTTAAGACTTTTAAGGTAAGATTTATGATTGTTTTGATAGCAGATACATCGTGGCGAAAATATGGAAGTCTTTTGTTTACAAGTGTTCTTTTCATTTTTTGAGTGTTTCCTGTGGTATTAAAGCATGTTTTCCGTAGACGAGCTGACCGATCTCGAGGAAAATACTCCAGAGTTTGCAGCTGCCACTTTCGTGATGGCTTTAAAGAAAAATGGGCCTTAGATTTCTACGCGAAATTTCAACACTCTTTTCCCTTCTGATGACTGTTCGGCTGCTGCAAAGGCAAAAGCAAAGGCAGGGAAACTGAAAAAACATGCCGACAACTCACAAGCAGAATCTGTCGAAGAAATGGTGTCAAAATACAAAGAAAAAGATAACGCAGAAAACAGGTCTACTACTGGTTCATCAGTGCAAGAGGTGGTACTCCAAGCAGAGCTAGACTGCATGAAGAGGAAGCTAGACTGCAGTGAAAAAAAAGAACAGTACCAGAAAACTCATTATACAGTGTAACAAATCTAAGTGCATAAGTCTTGAGGATGGAAACAGGTTTACCTATCAGAGAGATTTTTAACATTGTTGTTGATTATGCTTTACGTTTTAAAGATTCCATTACTTACTTTTATGGTTGGGCTGTTGTTACTATACCTTTTGAAGATCAGAGTTTTATTGCCTATATGAAATGTAGACAGAATTACACCAATCTACATCTAGCACAGCTATTTTGCTGTTCTCAAGTTACTATTACTAATATTGTTATTACTTCTGCATACGTTTTACATGATCTTTTGTTTGAAGATATTATGACAACCATTCCATCAAGATTGAAAAACAACACCTGCTCACCACCCTCTTTTTCAGGATTTGGCTCTTGTAAAGTAGTGATAGATTGCACAGATATAGAGATTGCAGCCCTATGTAAAGGGCATCTCAGTAAACGAGTTGCGCTTTATTTTAAAGAATAAGACTGAAATCAGGAATTCATAGAGCCCATAAAATGATCCGTTTTGAAGGCCAATGATCGTAGAACATACCGTCACTATATATCGCATATCCTTCATACTTGCTTTGACTTGACCTCTGATAACTCCTTGATTGTAGATAAAAGTCTCAATGTGACCTGATTTGTAGTGATTCTCCTCTTTTGTGATGGATTTATGCTCATCAACAAAGAATAAACTCAGATAAGAAATACTCAGAGACACCATCTTGGATGGAGAGCGGTTTGTTTAGAACAAGAAAATCCGTAGCTAAGGCAACGTGATGTAATGGCTTTAGGACTCTATTAAGTCTACATCTTACGTGACTGTATCATGAGACAAACAACTAAACAGTTTATTGTTTACTTTATCATGAACATGAAGAATGTTTGGCATGCCTGATACAGTCCTACCTGATCAGCTCTCTTTCTTTTTCGAGTTTCCATTGCATCTATGGCTTTTCCTTTCTCTACATTTTGTACATAAAAATTGGCTTCCTTTTTAGCCTGGGATATCTCTGTTCTCATTCTTTGTTCTTTTGTAGCTTTCTCATATGCTAGAAGAAAATAATCATACAATTTTCCATGTGATTTTGTTCCATGAATGAAACATGAATGTTCCATGCATGAAAATAAATGCTAAGTGTAATCAGATATCAGTAACTGAAAAATGTTACTCAAAAGCAAACCACAGCTAATTGAATGTCTTGAATTAATAAGGTCCAACAAGGTCACTTACCTATTTTTTCACTCAAATGCCCCCAAAGAAATTTTGGAAGATATTTTATATTCCATATATCATCATGGTAATATCCTCCTTTCTTTCCCCCTGTGTGTAAGGAAAATAAAATTCAGTTTACTGATTCTTCAACAGATTCATTGGTTTATGTTTGTGGGTTGGTTACCCTGTGGTTTCTTGGCTAGTCCACGGATCCATCCATCACTTTTTAGTTTGTTTGTCTTTTAATACCTGGTAACTTGATTTACCAGCCTATCGAACTATTAGTCCACCATGACTTCACTTATTTCCTTCACAGTCAACCTTTCAGTCAGTCAGGTAAGTAAGGTTGTCATTAGTCATTTAATATTTAGTCAATTTGTCAGTCACAGTCTGAGTTAATTTGAATATATCAACAAAGTTGAAATGGTAAATTGGCCACCGTTACAATTATAAAAGCTGACGTTTTGAGCATTAGCCCTTCGATGCAGCCCCAAACAGTTTTTTTAGAAACTATCAGCCTTTACAGTCCGAGTTAGTTTAGGTAGTGTGAGTTAGTTAGGTACTTTGGTTTTGTCAACTAAGTTAATATTGTAAATTGGCCACCATAAAGAGTTTAAAAGTGAATGTTTCGAGTGTTTGCCCTTTGTCAGATAGAATGGAGGAATTGTGGGTTGTGTGTGTGTTTGTATGCAGAAAGTGGAGCTATGCTATTGGAGGGAACATGGTGATGAGAAAAACAAAAATAAATTAATAGAATGAAAAGTGTTTGTTGCTTACTATGGGATTATGAGCATCAATTTGAAATATAAACTTTTGCTCAAGAGTTTTGCAGCTTTCTGAGCTACCTAAATGTAAGAAAAGCCCACAGACTGCCATATGCTGCTTAAAATGATTAGGTAGGTAAAGTGTCTCGTGACTGGTTTTAATGCCTCCTTGCCATTCCTTTCTATGTTGTGAAGGTGTTCTCAGAATGGGTCACATAGTCATCATCCTTTTTCACCAATGTACATCTTTTTGCAATAAGTGCAAGTTATGCAATAGATGAAAATGGCAGAGGTGCATTTAGTCAGTCAGTCAAAGTAAGTTAATCGGCTGGTCAATCACTTCATCATTTAGTTTGTTAGTCAATATAATGGCCAGTTCATTAATCTATAATTGGAAATCTATCCTGCTCATGATTTGTTGATGAATCTATCCGTACCACTAACAAAATTTAGTATATCATTATTCTTAATTTTGTTGGTAATACAAAACGTTATAAGAGTATCGTCGAAGTTACTTTTATACCATGGAATTAATCTGTGGCTAGTCCATCTTAAACAAAACAATTCACATCAGCAGACAAAAACTTCAGGGCTTTTACCAATAGTTGTGTTATTCAAGCTCAAGGCTACAGCCTTGGCAATCCGTTTGTCTTTGAACTCTATCCATCCTTCTGTAAATAATTTTCTTCCGCTTCCACCATATTTCTTTCTCTTTTTCCTGACAGCGGCATCTACAAAGCGAGGAAAACGATATACAAAAAGATCAAAACTGTTAGAATTTTCATCCAAAAGGTAAGAGGAACTCATATTCTCACAAGAATCTCTAAAAGGTGATGAAATATCTATCGTTTCTCTAACCCACTTGTATCGATACCATTTTTGTTGGTAGGAATTTATACACAACATATGTTCGAATTAATGACATATAATTTCTTTCACTGTGTTACCTTGAATTCTTACCTTCTGGCTGCAAGAATAGTCTTCCTACTTCTCCAAATTGTGAAAATATGTTTCTTATTTTAGCCGGTTTCATGAATGGAGGTAATCGACTTATGTAAACAACACCAGGAATGGTTTCTTTCCTCTTCTTTTTCAGCGCATAACCTTCTGATTCGTCGGCCATGTTGAACGAGCTTCATGGAATGGACCTGAGTACTAATATTCAGCGGTTTCTCCATTGAAAGAGACATTCATGTAAAAGCACCTAAAATTTGGCAATATTTTCTACTAACACGGCTAATAACACGTGCGAATGAAAGATCCTTAAGATTATTTTTTTGAGGAACATTTTGTAGTAAAATGACGGACGGAGGGAGTATGGAAGGTGTGTATAACAGTGGGAAATACTTCTCCGTTAACCTTAAAAGATGCCATGGAATCAGAATGATAACGAAAATTGCAGAAAGTAACAATCAGTAGTATAATGTATTTAGTCACTGATTTCATTAAGTAAATTCAGTGAGATCAGTAATAATCTGTTGATTGATATTGATTGGTTTAACAAGTCGATAAAACAGTTTATCAACCATCAGAAAGCCTTAATTATTATGAATGTCGATAATTTTTTGCGATAAACAATTGTTAAACGAGCAAGAGCCGAGCTTAGGAAGTCTACTTGTTAGGGAACTCTTCAGGCTTGCAGGCTCATCCATACAAAATATTCATTTGTGTGATGAGATGAATAAAACTATTTTTAGCTGTTCAGGGAAGCAATCAATATAAAAATAAACAAAAACAGCCTCTATTATGGAAGCTCAGTAGACAAGTATTTCTGCTGTTATTGTAAATATGGTAAGATAATTTTGAGAAATTATTATTTGTTTTTGATCAGGTTCTGCTGAGGAGGAGATGAAACTTTATGATGATGATGAAGGAGGCGGTGAGGACAGTGATTATGCTATCGACATTGAAGATGATGAGGAATTGGAAGAATCCATGTCATCAGTGAATGGTGATGAATCCATTACAGTACTTAATGTTTAACCATCTGAGATTACTTTGATTTTGCTATACACTGATTCAAAATATGGCATCAAATTTGAATTACCATTGTTCTGGACTTTCTAGCTTTTTCTTTATGTGGAAACAAAAAGATTATCACGTGTGAGAGGCTAGTAAGTCCAGAACAATGGCAATTCAAATTGGATGCCTTATTTTGATTTGGTATATATATTGTGGTTCAATTTTATCCTTGGTTTGAATTTTATTTTCCATTGTTTCAACCCTATTATCATACATTACCATAACCAAAAACAATAGAAAATAAAATTTAAACCAAGGATAAAATTCAACAACAAGATATACCTTGCGTTTTGTTTGGTCTAAAATACTCAAGCTTCTCTCTGAACTTGCATTTTTCCATCTAGAAGTAGTAAGCAAGTTTTTCCTTCAATTCTTATTGGCTGCTCATGATCTTTTCCTTTTATCTGATTTGCTGTTTTGATTGCCTTGGTTTTGGTTTTGGTTTTATGATGCTGAGACGAAACATACTCTATAGCAAGAAGGATTAGATGTTTCGTTAATTTGTAGTATCTAGGTAGTTTAGTGATTGGTGTCCTGGACATAGATAGAAAGATATGATAGAAAGATCTAGGCTCAGGTCCTGGCTAGTTCCATTATAATATGATCTTATGCAAGAATGAATATTGACATGGTGCCTTTTGCCACCCTGGATTATAAATGGGTACATTTTGGATATTTTCCAACCCTCCTAAGCAAAGTGCTAACCTAAGGAGACCCAGAAAAATGCAGGGACTTATTGCCCAGTAAACCTGCAATGAACTGCAATCCTGTTACCAGAGGAGATGTAGCACTCCTTCATGCCACTTAAATGAGAATAAACTCCAGAAAAATGGGCCCTCTGGTTTATATGCAAACTTTGCAGCCCTGGGAAGTTTCCCTCTGGTACAAACCACACTTTTTCCCATAGAGGCATATTTTTTGAAGAACGAGATTGTAACACAGTCTGCTGAAGTTCACCTCCTGTCTCTCATGTCCAATATAGAGGGGGGCTTTGGAATTTTTGATTTTGCGGTTTTGACTGTTTTTTTGATCGGTTTTTCGGTTTTTGGGCCAAAAAGGTGCGGTTTTTCGGTTTTGATGTTCAGAGTGGTTTGCAGATTTTACGTATATTTGCATTCGCTTTTCACGAAAACTTTAATGCGGTTTTCGGTTTTTCCTTTTTGACTCCTTTAAAGGTGAAAATGTAGCGGTTTTGTCAGGTTTGCATGCGGTTTTCGGTTTTGCTGCCTTTATTCGTCGGTTTTTTTGGTTTTTTTGTTTTTTTTTCTCTGGTTTTTCGGTTTCCCAGAGGCCCCAATGCCCCCCTCAATAAATTTATCTTGTAGCTAGTGGCAATTTGTAGTATTTAACGTATACTAATTAATTTTAAACTCAGGAAAAAAGAAAAAATCCAAATCAAAGAGCGAGGAAACAGGAGAAAAGACAAAGGTGATTGACCATTACCATGTGGTGACTAATTTTTTGCGATTGTTTTTTATGAAGGTAACTCACTGTGTGTAACACTGGGGTAAAGGACTAAAGGTGTATGAATAGTAGTGGCTGCATTTATCCATTCAGTTTTATTCATGCAAATTTATATGTAGCGATAAGCACCTTAATTGGGCCAAAGCATAAAGCAAATGTAACTGAATTTATGTATATCTGACTTAGGATTTTTAATCACATGATTTGATAAGGAAAAGAGTATATCACACAAATATATAAAGTGGTATTTCATACTTTCATGCTGTACCTGTATATGTTTGGATTGAAAACTTACTAACTAAGGAAGTATTTCAAAGAACATCTGAAAATGAAACTAAAGAATACAGTGCGACTTATTTACATCTCATCAACATGAAAATATTTTATACTACTGCCTAGCTAAGCTACATGCTGGTGCCTCTTTTTGCCAAGGTCATGTTACACGCGACTAATCATGAAAATGCATATTGACAGGTGTAGAGCCTGCATCTGCCTTGGCAGATTCCGGCTGTGAGCAGGGCCTGAGGTGAGCCTGAAAAGCGAACCACAGGCAAGAGGACATACACCCATCGCGTTCACCTACAAAACATAGTTTAGAATCATTTTGACTCAAATTTATTATCAAGGTAAAAATACACCAGTTGCCTTGAGCACCGTGTGTTCCCTCCTCCTTGTGTAAGTGTTAATGAAGTCTTTCAACTGTATCAGGTGTTTCTTCCTGGGGATAAGATGGAAGATGGAGATGAATTGACTTATGACAGTTCTGCCTATGAAATGTATCATGCTGTAAGTGATCTGTGTGTAGTGTGTGTTGAATGACATTCTGGCTTTGCAGAAGACTCCTAGATTTCAACAGTTTCAATTTATGCCCTCTAACTTTTTGTGTGTAATTATAATATATAAATATATAAATAATATATAAACATGTAAGTTTCTCATTAAGAAATGTAGGAAAATAATCTTTGTAATAAAAGTAACAGGTCTGGAGAATTTTCTCCTTGTTTGAATAAGAAATTCAGTAACCCAAGCCATATTTGACCACCAGCCAGTTAGCCCAATGGATAGTGCACTAGACTGTTGTGTGGGAGGTTGAGAAGAATTTGCTACCTTTCTATAACATCAAGAAATGGTTAGATATTCTAGTCTTCTCGGATAGGAACGAATTAATGGAGGTCCCGTCTCCTGCAGGGTTGGGGTAGGAGACATTAATTTCCCACGCACGAGATTACTGTGTGATGGATGTCCTCCCCTGGGGTGGGATGGTTGGGAAGAGAGCAGGTCTACATCAACAAATAGCTGCCATAATTCAACCTGCCCAAACAAGTGAAGAAGAAGAAGAAGAAGATTTAGCCAGAGAATGTATAGGCTTAATAAAAACCCTGCTGGTACTTAGCCAGCATTGCTGGCAGTTCTGATGGGCTAAAGGGTTGAGAGGCAAAGCTGCCGGGGCGTGGGGATAGAAGATACTTATAGCACACACAAAACCATAAAGCACACATAAAACTGCCAGCTATACCTGCTGGTACTTGCGATATAGGCCAGGTACTGCACAGGCCAGGGTGTGATAAATGTGTACAAGCAATTCAAATGATGATAAAAGGATAGCTAAATGTAAATGAAATGATTCTGAGATATGATGCAATTATTAGATTTTGCCTAGTAGACTTTGTTAACAATAATGTTGTTATGCTATTAATAAAGATTATTTTTATTGGATCATTTCTTTAACTTAGGCTCAAACAAATGCCCCTTGTCTAAGTTTTGACGTAGTACCAGATAGCCTTGGAGACTCCAGAACAGAGGTAGGAATCAGAACATGGATATAAAGGGGAATATTTAACAACTATTGCATGAGCGCGCGTTGGATATGAGATGATAGATAGCCAACGAGGCGCGTAGCGCCGAGTTGGCTATAATCATTTCATATCCAACAAGCGTGAGTGGAATAATTGTTTTATTAAAAACGTTAAATTAAATTATTAAATTTTATGAAATTTTTAGCTCCCTTTTAATTTTAAGCTGACGCGTGCACTTACCATGTTTGTAGATTATGGTATATTGGCTCATATACCATAATGGCTAAGCCAATAAAAAGTCTTGAATTGCATTATCCAATGATACCTTACTGACGGCTGGCAGTAAAAGTCAACAGCACAGGGACGAACACGAGCAAGGAATTAGTGCTTCCAGCATCACAGTGCATCCCGTGGCTCTTCGTGTTCTTCATTGAATATCTGGCCATAGTCGTCCTTAATATGATCACCATTATTGTACTGGTGAAAAACCACCAGCTACAGCGGCGGAGTATATTTAACAATTATTCCACGAGCGCGCGTTGGATATGAGATGATAGATAGCCAACGAGGCGCGTAGCGCCGAGTTGGCTATAATCATTTCATATCCAACAAGCGCGAGTGGAATAATTGTTTTATTAAAAACGTTAAATTAAATTATTAAATTTTATGAAATTTTTAGCTCCCTTTTAATTTTAAGCTGACGCGTGCACTTACCATGTTTGTAGATTATGGTATATTGGCTCATATACCATAATGGCTAAGCCAATAAAAAGTCTTGAATTGCATTATCCAATGATCCAGGTTTTAATATTTTCTGTTACAAACATGGCCCAATGATCACATCTGGTCTGACAAGGAGGTGAAGCATTATAAACAGAGAGGCCTTTGTCGTATCCAGATTTCAATTTTTTTTTTATTCTTCTTGTGCTATCTTGGCAATGGTTTGTTCATTTTATTTGAATAGTACACAAAAACCCTTTACACTAAATGAAAATAGTTTCTTTTATATTGTTTTGATAGTTGGTCGTGATTACTTTCACATTAATCTTGCACTTTCTGTTCATAAGTTTCCAATGACAGCATACATTGTGGCTGGAAGCCAGGCACCACCAGGAAAACAAAATCAAGTTATAGTCATGAAGATGTCACAGTTGGACAAAACGTCCCCAAGTGATGATGAAAGTGAGTTGATGTAGGTATAAAATTAAGTCATGCTGGAGAACTCACTTTGAAGCAAAAGGATGATTTGAGCCTTCACTGAAATTGAGGTTTTCTCATTGATTTGTAACCAAGTTTTTTTTAAAAAAAAAAAGGGAATATTTAGATGAAGATAAAGGTGTATGGTGTATTTACACATGATAATCTACTACTTTGTAATTTTTTCTACTTGTTTGTGAGTGACGTATTATTAATAGTAAAGGCTGATAGTTTCCAAAGAAACTGTTTGGGGCTGCGCTGGTGGGATTAACAAAATAATTTGGATATATCAACAAAGTTGAAATGGTAAATTGGCCACCGTAACGATTACAAAAGCTGACGTTTCGAGCGTTAGCCCTTCGTCGGAGCGAATAGAGGAATTGTGGGTTGTGTGTGCTTTTAAAGGCAGAAAATGGAACTACGTTATTGGTGGGAACATGGCAACGAGAAAAACANTTTTACGGCTTTCCGTGCTACCTAAGTGTAAGGAAAGACCGCAGATTGCCATATGTTGCTTAGAATGATTAGGTAAATTAAAATGTCTAGCGACTGGTTTCGATGTGTCCTTGTCATTCCTTTCCACGTCTCGAAGGTGTTCTCGGAATCGGTCACCTAGTCTTCTGCCTGTTTCGCCGATGTATATCTTTTTGCAATAAGTGCAAGTTATGCAATAGATTACATTGGCGGAGGTGCACGTGAAGTGATCGGTGATCTTAATGGATCGTTTAGGTCCCGATATTTTATCAGTGTTGTGAATGAAAGGACACGTTTTGCATCATGCACAAGTGCATTTAAAAGTGCCTGGTTGGTCATTAGAACTTCTGACCAAAGAATTGTCTATGTTTTTGTCGCGTTTGAATGAAATGAGTGGAGGCTGCGAAAAGATAGTGCTTGTCTCTGGATCGTTTTGAAGTAATTTAAAGTTTTTAAGAATGATGGATTTAACTGGGTGGTTGTGAGGGTGAAATGTGAGAGTGAATGGAATGCGGTCGGAATCTTCCTTATGCGACGTTTGTAGTGCTGAATGTCGATCAATAAGTTGGGCGCGGTGGTAACCCGCTTGAACGACAGAAACAGGGTAACCACTACATTGCCACTCTGAACTTTCCATCTGTCGCTCTGAACTTTAAATCTGTCCAGCAGTTTTATTACAATCTATCTGTGCCAAAATTCAGGAAACTAATTTGAAACTTTTCAATCATTTTTGAACCAAATTAAGGCCCAAAAACTTGACCAACTTATCGGTCCCCAAATCGCTAACCACTCATCACCAGAAAACCTCAAAACTGTAGTTACCATTCCAGAAAACCTCTCACTTTCTGATTCAGAAAAGTCCGTCCTCAATAAGGGCTTAAATTTCATTCCCATTTCTAAAACAACAGATGAATTCTCAATTAAACAAGACGTAGAAAAATTCCTTCGCCGCGTTCAGTTAAAAGCCTTTTTTCACAACAAAGAGGATGATTTTAACACCTCGAACAAAGACACTTTCGAAACACCTCAGACTCGTAAGTCTAAATGGACTCCCCCAGAGGCCAAATTATAATATTATTAATAGTGATCAGTCTGGGTTTTGATTGACTGACACCATCCCTGGAAATTGATGAATAAACTTCTAACGGAGTATTTTTTTGGCAGGTGATTCAGACGATGAGCTTTTGGAGGAGGAACCAGATTTAGACACAGCAATGTTTAACCATACTGGTGGAGTTAATAGAATAAGAGTAAGAATTTGAACTATCTATTTGTATTTATGAATAAATAAATCTATGAATCTGATTCTCTGACTGAAAAGCACAAGCAAGAAGCCAAATGAAAACTCTAGACTCATCACACTTAATCTGCCATCTTGCAGATATTTTACGCGCATATAGGCATGGCTATTCCTGTGGTTGGTACTGTATATATACTTAAAAATTTAATGGTGATGAATTCGATGAATTTTATTTTGCTAAACCGTCACTGGACTGGACTAAGTAAAAGAAGTACAATTGGGACCACTCTACAGACATTTTGTCAGTGTTGTAGGCTGTTTGCTTTGTCCATGGGGAGAACCTATCTTCTAAATGTAACTTTTCTAATACAGACACTCCACCATTATTTCAGACCATGTGTTTTGTTTCCTTGTTTTCTGTTTGAGCATAAGTTGACCATCTTACTTTTGGTAAGGAGAGAAGTCACAAGCACAATAGAGTCCCTGTGGGGATTGAAACCTCAGACCTTCCAATTTTGAATTGGATTCTCTGCATTATAGAGACCTTGTTAGTGAGCCAGACCTTCCTGTCCATGTACATGTATATGGGTTGGTTTATACCTGACAAATTTCATGCACAGTATCAGGTTTGCTTGCATAGAAAGTGGAGGTTGGGTGAGGTGTGCACGTAAGTGTAGCATTGACTCTGAGGTTTTGAGCTTGCAGGCTTTGTAATGGTTTTCATGTTTTTTAGCCAATAGTATTTATAACCTATTTCATTTCAGCATTCATCAATTCCTAAACGACACATTGCAGCGACTTGGTCTGAGAGGGGCAAGGTTCATATTTGGGATATATCACACCAAGTTATTTCAGTTGATAATCCGTCGACATCTGCCGAGGCATCTCACACAAAAGATATCAAGGCTTTGTTTACATTTGATGGTCATCAGGTCAGTTTGATTGAAGATCTGTTTATTAATATAGATCATACACTTTGCTTAATCATTATGTTAATTTTTCACTGGTGTCAAGATTCATTTTAAACATTTTTACTGTTTCTATTCTATGATGTAAAATCTTCTTTACAGAAATGTGGCACAAGTTTTTGCAAATTTAAATCTTAGTGCCGTTAATGATGAAAAGTCTGTATACTTTCTCATTTGTTGAAGAACATAGTTTTCTTTAGACATGGACACCTTTCCTGCTTCTTAAGGGTATGTAAGGAACTTAATGATACCTCACCTATCAAGTCTCCAGGGTAATATGGGTAAACACGAAGGCGCGCTATAAAAGGAGCCTTAGGTCCCACTGGACCATTTGTCAATCAGCCGTCGTGTGATATAGAACTCTTAGAGTCAAGTCAGCTTGAGCTACAGCTACTCCAAAGCAGTGAACAGCGAGCGCATTCCTCAAAATTGTTTTATGTCTTCGTGACAATACAAGAATTTTTGAGATTTGTATTTCCTTTCTCCAATGGAAACTGTCTTTATTTGTGGCGGTAAATTTGAGATCGAAGTAGGTGGTTCGCACGTTACCTCATGCCACCATGCTGGTGGAAGTAAACAATAGATATCTCATTAGCTCCTTTTGTTCGTCTACCAGCATTTAAATTTGACCCGCACACGTCAACGGTGAGTGACAAATGAGCCTAGGTCTTCCCAGGGAAGACTTCCTTATAGAGCGCGCCTTCGTGTTTAAGCTGTAAGTCATATGTGATATCTTGGGGGTTCAAATTATGCATAGCAAAGACTGACTTTAACTGGGTTACAATAGCTTCCTGTAAATTCTTTCCAGGTCGAAGGATTCGCTATGGACTGGTCCAAAACAGTACCTGGAAGGTATGGAAGCATTCCAATAACTTACCGACTTTGAAGGTTTTTTTTTCGGTCATTGCTGCAAATAAATATAATGATTTGCAATATGGGATAAGAGTAGCAGTATGTTCTTTGCTTAGTAAAGCTTCTGGAATATTTGATTTTGCATGCCTGTCTTGAAGTATAGTATAGTGACAGAGCTGAATAACGTCAGAGGGCCTGTGGTCAACAACGCGGGCTCAAAAGTCCCAGGTCTAGATTTAGCGAATTAGCAGAAAATACCAAGGGTTGACTTTAAAACCAAGGAACTCTGTTTTCATCGAAGGCATTTTCCTATTTCTAGAGGTTTTAAGGACACAATTAATTTTTGAAAATTTTTAGGGGGTGTACCAAGTTTTTGGAGATTGTTCTGTAAAAGAAAAGCGGTAAGGAAAACGAGGCCTCGAAGCAATAGAATAGGAAATCAGCCATGCGAACGACTCAAAATCCGTGTTTTCGCGGCTAAACCTAGCGCATGCGTATACGTTATTCAGCTCTGTCCGGTATAGTAGTAGTATCCAAGTCTTGACCATAAACAGCTAGTCAGGAGCAACCTAAGTCACCCAAGGTCACATTTACAACATATTCTTTACTAAATTGAAGTATTTTATGAAGCACAGTTGTCTTGAGGTACCCAAACTTCGAACATAAATAGCTAAAGTAGCGTGAGTCATGTATAATGAGTCGTGCTGGTTTCAATTACGTTGTCTTGAAATGTTTCTAGACCAGCTGGGTAAAGAGCAAGAAGGAATATTACCTAACACATTCAAATAAACGTATTTGTGCATGATCCTCGCAGTAAAGAGCACTATTTAAGTAAAAGTGAAAATCAGACCTGAAAAAATTCAGGCCTGTACGAGATTCGAACCACTGACCTCTGCGATACTAGTGCAGCGCTCTACCAATTGAGCTAACAAGCCAACTGGGAGCAGGTCATCAAATTAGTCCGACATAAACCCGTAAGATTGCTTAAATAGTGCTCTTTATTGTGAGGATCGTGCAGATATATGGATTTCATATATTCGTTGTGTTTGATGTATCATCTTACGGGTTTATCTCGGACTAATTTGATGATCTGCTCCCAGTTGGCTTGGTAGAGCGCTGCACTAGTATCGCAGAGGTCAGTGGTTCGAATCCCGTTCAGGCCTAAATTTTTTCAGGTCTGATTTTCACTATTGCTTAAATAGTGCTTTTTACTGCGAGGATCGTGCACAAATAAGTTTCTATAACCGCAGTTCAGATATACGAATTTCATATATTCGTAGTTTTTACATTCAAATAACTCTTAAACAGCCTTGTAGCAACCAGGGTATTAAATCCAAGCCTTTGTACAGCTGCCTCTTACCCTCCGAAAAAAAAAAATCCTTCTCGATTTTTTTAGGGTGGGGGGGGTGGCTGTACACAGGCTGATTAAAAGCATGGCCCAACGAAAATAGAAAAGCCCTGGCAATTCTTAAGTCCATTAGAGTATTGGGGGCTCATGACAGTATTTACGATCTCACTTTTTTTGTGTTTCGTTTACATTTTTAATTGTTTATCTGTCTTTTCGAACAGATTAGCAACAGGAGACTGTAAGAAGAATATCCATCTTTGGTCACCTAGGGAGGGCGGTACATGGCATGTTGACCAGAGACCTTACAGTGCACATACAGACTCTGTTGAGGACATACAGTGGAGTCCCAATGAACAAAATGTAAGACCTTACGGTGCCAAGTCACTTCACCTACCTTTCAGCTTGCTGACTCCTTCAGTGAACTTGCCGATACCTTAGGTCAACTTGCCGACAATCGTACTTTGCCTTTGGTAACAAATCGAGTTGCAAAGATTAAAGTCGGCGAGTTGGCAGAAGTTATCGACGAATTGCCTAATGGTATCGGCGAGTTGTCACTTAGACGAAGTCATCGGTAACCGACCTTTACAATGTGGAGACCCGTAGTCACCTAAAATAAAAGCGCTTTCCGGTTTTTTCATGTAAAACCAAAGCCAGTCGACAGAAACTACAACTGCTAATTAAAACGAAATATTACAGAAAATATTACAAGGAGGAAATTGAGACTGAATGTAAGAAAAGCAAACTGCCTAACGAGCAGGAACAGTTCCCTGACCCCTCAGTCTGCGCGTAAGTTGTCTACTCCCGCCCGCACTCTGCGTGATAACTTTTGAACAGGCCAAAACCAATAAAAGAGCAAGGTAAGGTAAAACCAATGTCGACCACTGACTTTCAACATCGATTGGAAATTGCGTAAGGACAAGGGCAAATACTACATGAAGCTATTATAAGTAGACAACAGGAAACGTAATAAACCAAGTCGCAATTATAATTTGGTAATATCAACTAAGTTGAAATCGTAAATTGTTAAAAGAGTTAAAAGGCTGACGTTTCGAGCGTTAGCCCTTCGTCCTTCGCTCTGACGAAGGGCTAACACTCGAAACGTCAGCCTTTTAACTTTGTACGGTGGCCAATTTACGATTTCAACTTAGTTGATATTATACATACAAGGCTAAAAAGATTAAGGAAAATTATTAAAATGTTAAAAACCAAACGTTTTCGGCTGTTGCCATCAGCCAAAAACGTTTGGTTTTACCATTTTAAAAATTTTCCTTAATCTTTTTAGCCTTGTATATATTATATCTTTTATTAAGCGAACATTATGGACAACTTAGTTGATATTACTATGCCAAATTACCTTGTTACCCCCACCGACGCAGCACCACAGTTTCTTTAAAAACTTACCCCCTTTTATTTAAGTCGCAATTAGTCGCGATCGATCAAGCTGACTTTTCTATCTGATTGGTGGTGACAAGGTAGCGCTAATTTATTTTATTTTTATCTGTCATAAAGCATGGTGAAGCTAATGCACTCCCAGTATATTTGCGCCATCCAACTTAAAATTGCATTACACTGTATATCTGCTGGGATACCTTCAGTTATTCTTTTTTTGGAAAATTGCTTAAATCTTACTCCTTCATTATTGTTCCTCTTATTTTTCGCTTTGGCAGGTGTTTGCCTCATGCTCAGTGGACAAAACGATACGAATATGGGACGCAAGAGCGAAACCCACCAAAGCCTGTATGCTGACCACACAGGCGCATGACGCTGATGTGAATGTAATTTCTTGGAACAGGTCAGAGTGGACGCAATTGTCCTGGCCAATTTAAAGGCACCAAACAATTCAAAGTGCCAATTATAGCGCAAGGCCGACTCAAGTAACCCTAGAGAAGCACGGGAAAACGTCTGTACAGTAGTAGCGTTTTTTGGAGGGTTTTGTTTGTAGTTGAAGCCTTGAAGGGTTTTTCTTTTCGTTTTGACTAATCACAGTTAAAAAAATTATACAGCAATCATAAACGGATTATTTGGCTTGGCTCAACTGATTATTGTTCAGAGAGTCAGTATCAAATTGATATTTTTACGACGTAGAATGAAAAATCTTGTAGAGTAGAGCTCCTTTTTTCATTAGAAACTTCACATTGATATGCAACTTACCAGAACAGAAAGGTGTTCTGATGAGTTCGAAAGCCTTCTCGTAAGCTTAATGTAATGAATACTAATGAAAATTGTTTTGAACTCGCGCATTTTTTTATTTTCTCAATCTTAAGGTTGATAATAATTAGTGCGTGCCGTTGTAGGACTAAATCAGAATTAAATACTCTTTAAGTATAAAAATTCTCATCTGCATGTTTTCTTTTCAGAAACGAACCATTTATCGCTTCGGGAGGTGATGACGGGGTTTTAAAAGTTTGGGATCTCCGACAGTTTCAGAGGTGAAATTCACTTTACTTTGAAAGATTTAATAATAATAATAATAATAATAATAATAATAATAATAATAATAATAATAATAATAATATAATAATAATAATTTAATATTTATATTGCGCAAATTAAAATTAAACATTTGGGATCTCCGACAGTTTCAGAGGTGAAATTCACTTTACTTTGAAAGATCTTCAATTTTTTGTAAGATCTTCCCGATCATTATTCAAAGATTCTCAAAGAAATTGTTCTGAATGTGATGTATTGGAGCAATGGATGTGGTGATGAGGATTTGGTTACTCATTGACAGTAAGCTCTTGTAGGTCTGTCCAGTACATGTGTCTGTTAATCATGTGAGCAGTGGTAAAGGCGGCGACATAGGAGATACAAAAACCTTCAACTTGTCGTGCAACTTTGTTTCTTTGCAAGTTTCTTTGCGAAAAGTAGAGGACGCTCCACTTTGAGAAACAAATTTGGCTTAGTTGGTCGTTGTTCATCAAACTCACGACTTGTCACACATCAAATTTCTTCATGTTGCGCGACAAGTGGAGGGTGTTTTTTTTTTTTTTTCTTTTTTTGTATTTCGCCGTCTTAAAAGCCGCAATAGAAGCGGAGGACTGAAAATGAGGGAGGTTTTGGTCTGGTTCTTCGCAACCTGACCCAAACCTCTCTCATTTTCACTCCTCCGCTCTTAGCGAGCCTTTTCCCGTCTTGTGACAAATTTCACTTTGGTGTTCGAAAAGCCATAAATCTTAGCACCCGAGCATCAGTTTACGTATTCTCCTCGCCGTTTTCTATTTATTTCCTGTGGTACTGACATAGGGATTTTTTCAGAGATCAAGAGCCCCTTTATTCAGCAATCATTTCCTCCCTTCTTACACGTTTGTATCAGTGGTGATACTAGTCACTCCTGGGGATTAAATGGTTGCCAACCATTTAATCAAGTCAACTGTCGCCCGGACGACCCCATATACTATTTACTGTTACGTCTGAACTCAAACCATTTATTGTATGAGCTATATATGTTTGTATCTCCTCAGCGGTGTATCGGTAGCCATGTTCAAGCATCACACAGGTGCTATCACCTCAGTGGAATGGCATCCTACAGACAGTTCAGTGTTTGTAGCCTCTGGCTCTGATGATCAGATCACGTTGTGGGACTTAGCTGTGGAAAGAGACAGCGAGGGTGAGGGAAAAGGAAGGCATTTAGATGTTCCGCCGCAATTACTGTTCATTCATATGGTAAGTGATGACAGGTAAAGTGTAGATTATTGAGGCTTCTTTCCTTCGTACGTGCAGAATAATATTTGATCTTCACGCGTCGGTAGTAGAATCTAGCTGTACATCTTGATTCACAGTCTAGCATTCTACCAGGGACTTTTCCTTCTTCCTCTTTTTTTGTGTGTCGAAGTGGATTTTCCGTCTTGTCCGATTACTTAAGGCCAAGACTTCACGCTTTCCTATGATGCCAGGAACTTTTCAATAAGTTGATATAGAAAAAGAAAGTGTCTTTGCCAGTTAGATGAGGGAGGCCATCGGACTGTTTTGTCATAAGCGACAATTTACGGTGGAGAACTCTTCTGCTGAGTGTCTTAAAGTCAATTGCAAAACCAAAAGAGTAACAAAACCTAATCGGAATTAAAAATAATGATAAGCAGAAGCTAATGGAACTTAAACTAAAATGAATACATTTTTTCGGCATCGAGCACGGAAATTGAATTGGTTTATCGGTTTAGCGAGTTAAAGACAGGACGTGAGTGTTCCAAACTAATCAACATTGTACACGGAGTAAGGCAAAGCCAATGCAGTCATGAATTGTTTTCTAGTTGCAGTGATTAGTGCCTTTAGGTTATTACTATTTCAATTTCAGGGCCAAAAGGATATTAAAGAGGTTCATTGGCATCCTCAGCTTCCAGGTGTGTTAATAAGCACGGCTGAGAGTGGCTTCAATATCTTCAAGACCATAAGTGTCTAGCATAGCCTCGATCTCGCGTCCTTAGCTGTACTTCTGTGAACGAAAGGTGCCTGTCTTAGTTTGTGAGGATTGCTGGAAACTTACTTCGTGGTCACATGAGGTATTTCGGCTGGACTTTGTCCAGGCTGAAAACAGGAGCTTCCTTCAGTATCAGTGGTAAAACTACTCCCGTCAATCGAACTAGCATTTGTAGGGGTTTCAATAACTTTTTTCATTTGCGGCGGCCGATAGTTTATGGCGATTGTGGCCGAAAAAAAAAAACAACAACAACTACGAGCCAGCTCGCAGGTTCAGCAGACGGTGGTAGTCTTCCAGGCGGCGGTAGACCGCTGCCGACCGGATTTATTGAAACCCCTGCATCTGTGTGGAAGATGTCCTTGCCTATTTCATCAGAATTTTGAACATCAAATTCATAAGCTGTAAGCTTCGACCTCTTTTTAGACAGGCTGTCGAAATCTGAAAGAAATTTTAAAGGGACCTTCAGATGTTTCTTTGTTCACATGATCACAGAAACCTTCCACTGGAGACTAACGCGTCTCCAGATGGGCATCCATTTTTTTAATCATCTTTTTAAGCATAATTGAAACTTCTTGTAGGTTTCTGGTGGTCAAGGTTTCTCGATGTAAAACATAGATAAGCCAGTCAGAGAGTTCAATCGTGCCGTGAATTGCATTTGACTCTTAACCAACTTTGAGTGCCATTTTGATGGACAAACTCTGCAATTACCGTGCACGGGCCCTCGCCAACAGTTTAGAGATGTCTATAAAGTTTTTTTCTCATTATAATTTCTGTTCGTGTCTTATTATTAATACAAAACTGCTGTACAGAACTACTCGAATTAAAAGTATTGAAATTGACCTAGTGAAGTTTGAATAAGATTTCTTGTATTTTTATTCCAAGGGTAAGGGAAACAACTAGCGTAAAATTCCAGTGACTAATAGCTTGTAACGTTTACCATACATTACTGGTCCAGTTTCTAGAGGGTGAGGTTAATAATTATTCTTTGAACACGCGTTGGATATAAGATGGCCATAACCAATCTCGTATCCAACAAGAGAGAATGGAATAATTTTTTCATTAAATCTCCTTAAATCCTGATCATTTGGATATTTGGAGCCTTTTTATAGCTCTGCAACAGTTGACACAATTTATTACACGACTCGGGCAGTCAGAGGGCCAATAACTAAAATCAATCAATCAAAATGCTCTATTGCCGGTCCAATATTCAGTAAGTACTGGACCGGGCACTGTCCCGAATGGTCCCGAATGATACCACACTTATGTCCCTTTGAACGTCAGTCGTATAATAAATTTTTTGTTATACGACTGAAGTTATACGACTGTCCGTACAAAAAATTAATAAAATTTTTTGTACGGACCTCGCTGCGCTCAGCCCGTACTGTCAAGACCTCGGGCCGATATTCTCCCAGTACGGCCCTCGCGCTTGGTTAATAAGATATATATATTCCTCGTAAAATAACTTGGAATATGAGCTGATGACCAGAGTTAAGTGAACCAATTAAAATACTCCATATGCACTATTAGTTAAGTTGAAAATTTAATTTAAAAAAAACTATGTTTTTGAGTTGAATAGAAACGGCAAGTTGTAATTAAACATAGATTACGACTCTTAAGTTAAAAAAAAAAAATTATAAAAAGGAAAGAAAGTATTGTGGTGATTTTACAGCAAGCAATGTAATAATCCTTAAACACAGATAGCATACGCAACTTAATAATAACTTCTCAGTTACTACATTGGTAAAAACTCCATTTTCAGCATTAAAAAGTAGCACAACTAGCATTACCCAATATTTAAGTTTCATTTTTCATAAAGTAAAAACATCTCTCATATAAGCTTGGAAAACATTTACCAAGTAAAACAACAATTAGAGAGACTCTTGCCAGACAGCAAGCAGGACTAGCAATAAGTTCTGAAGGATTATCATCACCCATAGCAGTGTAAAATTTGGCCATGTGTGACCTGACAGCAATTGACTTCTTTACCTGTAATTTTGCAACAGGTGTTACAGGTTGCAGCCCTCATTGACAGCCCTCATTGACCACATTCTAAACATCGTGGCATCACATACAGTCATAAGGAGAGATGTCTGTGCTTTGAATTCAAATATTTCACAAAAGGACCTTTTCAATCCAGATCTGGTCTGACCTCTGATAACTCAGCTGTATTTGGCATAATATCTTTTAATTGTGCAATACATGCAACTGAACCTCGCCCAATCATGTTAATGTGGTCTTTTGTTATGAATGCATGAGACCTCAAAAGTGACATGGAGGCTACAACTGCAGGCTTATCACTTGTTATCAAAACCAAAATTATGGTATGTCATTTGAGTTACCATAAGTTACATGGCTCTAAAAAAAAGATTGTCCTAACATTGCATTTTAAACAAAGCTAAGAATATTGTCACAATGATAATCACTTTTATTTAAATAAGTGAGTCCATAAAGCTAAAATAAGATAAATGCACTTCTTTGGGTCATACATCCTCAAATTATTTCATGGTGACATATCACAACACTCAGGTGGTCATCTTTCCTTTTCACTTTTAAAAAGAGCCAGATACATGTATTAGACAACTTTGATCATTTCAGTAAACAGGCCAACAGACAGCTTTTCAGTCTAATTCTTCAACCCCTCAAGAACTACATTAGTTCACACTGGTTAATATTTATTTTTCATCAATTTACACCTGCATCTATAGTACAGTACTCAAATGCCACATACATAGGAACATTGCTAAAGTCTAATTACCAGCTTTAATAGAAGTGACAGGCAATTGGTACTGAGAGAGAGAAAATAATTGATGTAAGGAATACTGAACTAATTCATTCAATTCCACACTACACATTGTAAAGATCTGTAGTTTTCAGGACTATCAAACATGACTTCAGACCACTTCCTCCTTGCAAAACATTACCCCCTCACTATCAACTGTTTATAAACTAACCTTTACTTTACCTAAAGCTCTATATTACAGAGACAAGGAAGAATACTTATTGATTTTGCAACCACAGTTTGCACATAATAAGCTCTATGATCCCCCTCCACCACAACAGCCGCCACTGCTCTGTCGCTGGGGTTGTTCATCAACTATAACCACATTCTTCCGCCTGCTAGTCCCTTTGTCAGGTATTCCATCACGATTGCCCTCACTTTTTTCTTGTCTCTCCAACATCTCTTTGAGGAAAAACATAACAGATATCACCAATTGCAATGTGCTCTTAGTGCAATAACTAAAGTTAACTTAACTGATAACTGCCATAGTATAACCACGATGGAATCCACCGAGTATTTTGCAAGAACTTTTTTCCCAAGTATATTACAAAGCAGTGACAAATTTTTAATTTAAGGAAATTTTGTCTACTGGTATTTTTTTCAATGGAGGGTAACATTAAAAGAGGGGTTATCACATTTTCAGCAAAGATAAATACCAGAGAGGCAAGAATTGACCAAAACAGGACAAAAAAAGGTGACTCATGGAGAAGATGGTCACCAACTTTTTCAGTTACAATTTTCCAGATACACAAACCACCCTGAACAAACAGCAAACTATTTGTGAAGGGTTTTAAGGAGGATTTCATCGCGTGGCTAGAAAAATATAAAATAACACTTACGTTTTGCAAGCTCAAAGAACATTTCTTCTACACCTTTGTTAAGTTTTGCTGATGTATGGAAGTGCTTTGCCCCTACTGTCTTAGCATACCTGGAATTGTAATGAACGAGTATCTGATTTAGAACACCTGTTTATCATGATCTAGGACCAAGTTATTAAATGCTCACCATTCAGTTTCCAAGATAACTTTCATATTCATGGCTATTTAATATTAAGTTTCCTAACTAAGGGTGTGGCTTGTCTGCGATTGCAGCTTACTGTATTTACTTGTGTGTAGGTCAACCTTTTGCGACCAAAAAATCTGCCCAAGAATTCACCCTTGCCTTGTACATGAGTTGTACACAAAGACCTGACCCAAGCAATCCAAGAAATTAGCATAACAATTGTGTGGAGTCCTTTAGGAAAACCGAGTTTACCAATCCAGTTCTAATTGTGCTTGAGTTTTGTCAGTTTTCAGCACATTCTTCATCAACAAAAAAGTTTGAAATAATAAATTTTAACCAGCTTAAACACAAACCTACTGGAGCTGATTCCTATTGTCCTCTGATCTGTAGAGTAGACATTTTTTCTTGCAGCTTCAAATGTTCGTTTTCATTGAATGATTACAGTAGCTTAGTGACCTGGCAAATGGAGTGTCTACAGTATGCTGACTTTTGTTTTTAAGAATGTAATAAAAGCAACAAGGAACTTAGAGATAACAAACTTACGCTTCTGCCTCTGACGCCTCCACATGTCTGTCTTTTTCAAGGTCAATTTTGTTTCCTATTATAGACAATTATTGAATATCTAAATATGGCTTATCAAAAGAAGTGATGTCTATCTTAACAGACAAGAACTACAAGTGGACATTATTACCTGCAATGCAGAGTGCAATATCTTCCCCTAACATTTTCTTTAGTTCCTTGACCCAATTTTTCACCTGTTTTAATAAGGAAAATATACAGCTGAGGAAATAAATTTTAATGCTAAAATGTTTAATAAACTGTCCACTTACAACAGTCAAGTAACATAGTGACTTCTATTACCTTGAAAAAGGAATCTTCATCTGTTATATCATAAACTAGAATTGCACCATTACTGCAAAAAATGAAAAAAAAAAAATCAATTCAATTTAGCCTAACAATAACTTCATGATAAAATAATGAGCTGAATTCATACATGCATTCTGATTAATTCTTGTGATCTTTTAAAGGACAGATGCTTAGATGATGTCACCAATAACAATATTTTACTATCAAAAACAAAAAGATTTTATGTGGCCATGGGTCTGTTTAGTAAGAGATCCCAGACAACATCAACATTTGATTAAAGATGAATAACCCACATGGCTGCATCTTGTATGCCACTTCCTTGTTCTTACTACATTTTGACATCCTCTGTGGTCTATTAAAGACCAGACACCCCACAAAAAACATGGAAGCTACTTGTTGAATAAAGCACACAACAGAACACTATGAGAGTATGTTCCCACCTATCTCTGTAGTAAATTGGTCCTAAAGCATGAAATCTTTCTTGACCTGCTGTGTCCTGTAAATAGAAAATTTTCTGACTGAGAAATTTATTTAAGATGACAAGTCATTATGTCGTGGCATTAAAAAAATAAATAAATGTTAAATATTGTAGTCTGAAGCCTATTCTGGCTTTAGACATAGTCTCTCTTTAGACTTTTATTTTTATTTTTCTCTGGAGTTTTGCAATAACTAGAAATTTCTCTTTAAACTTGCAATAATAAATAAATTGGGTCAATTCATAGTAATGCAAACTCTTTTTATCAATAAGCAGTGTGGTAACTTTGAATCAATATACCGGTACTCACCCATATTGCAATGTTCACTCTTTGACCATCTATATTTAATCTTTTATTTAAGAATGACGCCTGAAAAGAAACAAGGAGACAATATTTCACTTCACTTATTACAATGCACACCCTATAAAGGTTAATTACATGTGCCTGATTTCATTCTGAAGTTGAATGCAGTCAATAAAAATAAAAATAACAACTAAAACATGGTCTTGATAGTCTGATCATCTGAGAGAGAGAAGTCTTCATTGTAAGTCAGTTCTGATTTAATAGTTTTGAGGAGTGTGAGGTCCTTCAGTTTGGTATGTTTGTGTAAACATCATGAACTGGTTGGATACATGTTGAAGGGAATCATTGAACAGGATTTCCAGGGTAAGATGTTTTTAAGTTGGTAGGTTAAACATTGTGAAGAGTCCCAGTCAATGGTGTGGTTTGTAACTCAATTGTGTTCAGCAGTTTGGTTGCTGAGGTTTAACATCAACAACCGAATGACTGTACACCAACAGTTGCAGTTTTGAGGGAACAAGGAATGGCTATACCCTACACCCACAGCGTGTAAAAACAACACAGTACCACGTGTGTCCAGGCCTTTCATAGCTCAACCCTTTAAATATGCTCCATGTACTTTTACCATTCAAATTAAAGGGATGTAGGTTGGAAAGTGTGACATCTGCCTTAAGACTTTCTTTAATTCCTAAAACTTTTTCTCAAATGTTTACATGTCTGAAGTGTTTAAGATTTTTTGCCTCGTCTATGGACAAAATTCATGAAATGTTCAAACTTAATATTTTCCATTGTGTTATCAAACAATTAGAATTTTTTGTGTACAACATACATACTCAAAAATGAAGTTGTTAACACAAAGAGATAGTCAAGAAAATCAATCACTGGTGCACAAAATTCCTTTACATCCCTAAATGAAATATATTTAGGCAGCCAGGTAACTCAGTCGTCTCGTGTTCTGTCTTTAACTGATGTAAGTCCAAACAAGACATGTACAGTGACATCCGGTTGTGTTTCAGTTTTGTCGTCCCAACTTCTTTTTTAACTAGATCAAAGCAAACCCCTCCATGTCTATTTCTTACTTGTATTCAAATTAACTTCTGGCGGGAATAATGCACGAAATGTACAGAACTATTCGGATCTATGTAATCGTCTATTTTAGAATTATACGTTTTGTACGAAGTCTATATGAGGTGTTAATATAAATCATGATCACTTTAGTACGAAGTTTTGAATCATTCTTTAGTTCAGACATTTTTCAATTTCATCGTATGGCCAAATAATCTAATATCCTCGATTACCCAAATATTTCTTAAACAGATACTTCGAAACCATTAACACAAATACATTGTCTATTAAGTTCTGATAGCAGAAACCGTGTGAAGCAATAGACCGGTTTCCAGTCTGGCTCGACTGGCTATGATGAAGTAATTCTTCAGTTTATGCCCATTTTCCGAATCCCATATACCGTTTCATGTAATGGCACTGAGCCAGGTTTACTTCTCGCCTAGCACGACTATGACTTACTTGCAGGGTTGTTAAATGCTTATCGTTAAACTTGTCTTGTACGTATCGGAGCATAAGGGAGGTCTTCCCAACGCAGCCCTCCCCTAGCAAAACCACTTTGAATTGGTTTTTCCGCGATGCTGAAGCCATCCCCTCGATTTGTGATCTCGATAAAACCTAACTCTTGATCAGAAGTAAGGTAAAACAGTATTTTATGCTCTTATTACTATGATTTTCACTCAAGTTCCGGACTCCATTTTCTGTTTTACAACTACCGAAATTATCCTCGTGACACTGACGTCACTTATCGATGTTTGCGGAAGTATATTCGGAAAAACTCGAGTACACTTCGTAACTCTCCGGAGTACTGTTGGTATATTCCGATTCACCTTAAATGAGTCATAATGTGAGTGTATCCCAAGGTGAACGCAGGCTCAACAGCGTTGGAAACTTCAAATTTTCAGAAGTCACACGTGTTTCTGTAAAATTGTACAAAAATGGTAATTCTACTTTATTTCCTTTACTCAAATCTGTACCCAAAATGAAAAAATATAAAAGCTCATTCATGTATATGACTTTTCTTTTTTCAGGTCTCGCTCAACCCAGTTCAGATTCTCAACCAAGGTGCCGAGGAAGAGAGAGCCGAGACAGCTCGCCTTGTAAGCATAGAAGAAATTTCGATTTCATAATTTGTCTTTCTTGCGTTAGATTGTTCGCCAAGTGTACTCCAGTTCTGTCATGTGGCTACTTATCTGCTGCTTAGAGTCTGCTTTTGAAATCACGAATCTTAAGGTTGCGTCTGATTTAAGTTATCTTTAGCATGAAGCCATAAACCTGTCAAATCAAATGTGTAGGCACACCCAGCGTTTGATGATTTACAATCGTGTTGACCAGTGGATGAGGCAGCAGATTGTGTACAATTTCTTTGCTTATTTCCAGTCGTCATTTGTTGGTGCCATAGCTATAGGAGATCTAGTCAAGAGCACTCTTGGTCCGAAAGGAATGGTAAAGTATACTGCATGCTTTTCCAATCTGTGTTTCCCATGCTTATACCTTGATCATCGTGTTATTTTCTCTGCTTGTTATAACAAGTTGTGAATTTGGAACATCCCCTGCTGATAAACAAAACTTGTAAACAGAGAGGACCAGTGGTGACATGCCATCTTGTGACAGTTATCCTTAATTGTGCTTCGTGAAGTTTGGATATCTTTTGTCTTTCTATTGGTTATTTATTCAGTTCCTCTCTTCATATTTCCGCATTAACCTCTAAAAAAATAGGTATGCAATGCGTACATGTGTCTACTGCAATACTGAGTAGATGTTTGAAAGTCTACATCTACATCTACATTTATTAGTCTTGCAAAGGGGGGCCATCACGCAAGACATAAAATAACAATAATAAATAACAAAATGAGATAAAAAATGTAAAAATAAATGATATATATATATATATACATATGTTAAAGGTTAAATTCCCCTAATTGCATCTTTAAAATTAATTTATCAATTCCTAAAACATTATTTGGTAAGGAGTTCCAGTCTCTGATTGTTCTACAATAAAATGAATTCTTATACGTTTCAGTGTTCGGTTTTATTTCTATGTATTTATCTTTATGATATGATCTTAATTGATGGGTTTTCTTCTTGATATAATTTGGGAGTTCCATCTGGACTTCGCCATGGAGAATCTTGTAGAACATGGTTAAACGTGCAGACTTTCTTCTTTTCTGTAATGGAGGCCAGTCCAAATCACAATTAGGGATGGTGTTACTTCTCTGTTTGGTGTTGCTAATCAGTTTGGATCTTGCAAATTACTTGTGAGACAATGACATGTATGGTAAATGGTTGGAAAGAAATACCATGTCACATGCTATTAACATAAATGTGACCTCTCACGCGAAAACGTTCCTAACGGTAGCCGTTCAAACAGTGAACGGAACGGCAAGCGAACGGGTGACGAACGGCTTGGAAAGCCGTTCGAAACGGATACTATGAATGGATGAACGGCTAATTAAAATTTTCGAACGGATGATGTCAAACAGATGAACAGCTAGTGAAAAAATTCGAACGGACAAGGTCGAACGGGTGAACGGCTAATTAAAATTTTCGAACGGATGAGGTCGAATGGATGAACGGCTAATTAAAATTTTCGAACGGATGAACGGCTAATTTTTCGAACACAGAGATGAGCCTCACAGATGAGATCAAACGGATAAACGGCTAAGCGGTCGAACAAGTGATGGCCTGTAGAAATTATTTGAACAGATGGTTTCGTCAAAATGAATGCTGACACAGGCGTCCCAAGCTCTTGTCTTGAGCCAAAGCGAAGGATTATTTCATGAAAGCATCACGTGTTGGGTGACGCGGTGTTAAGTAACGCGAGGTATTTGACACAATCTGTGAAAAGATAACTTGAAACGAGTTGAAACTCAATCGTTTCAATAACTCGACTTCGTTTTCGGCGCATTCAAATGGATTATAATTAATATTTTTATCATTGAATTCGACCGATTAAGATAATGTACAACCAAGGAACTTGCAAGCGAAAAGCATAGTTCTCAACTTCAATGGGTTTAAATTTAAATAATCCCAGCTTCCCTGTCACTCCATCAAAAATGTGTTGCCTTGGTCACTGCTAACAACTTGTGTCAATTACCGCCATTTCACACAATCACAAAATGGAGAATTCAACGAGAGAAGATATGGATTCCGATCACACCGAAAATGTTTCTACCATCGTTGCCAAAGTGCGAAGTGAACGCCTGATAAATTTTCTCGAACGGATAGCTCGAACTGTTCGAACGGATGATGAATATTCAAGAACGGGTAGCTGGAGGCGTTCGAACGGATTATGAATATTCAAGAACGGATAGCTAGAGGTGTTCGAACGGATGATGAAGTTTCTTAAATGGATAGCTCGAACGGCTCGAACGGATGATGAATATTCAAGAACGGATAGCTTTAGTCGTTCAAACGGCATGCCAAACCAGTCGAACGGCCGATGAATGGCTGGTGAACGGCTATCCGTTTAAGAATGGCTAACCGTTCGGAACGTTTTCCCGTGAGAGGTCACAAATACTGTGTTTTGTGGAATTTGTTATTTATTATTATTTTTTTAAGTACTGTGTTTGATTTACTTCACAGGACAAAATTCTGCAGTCTTTTAGCAAGGCTGAAGAAATTCAAGTTACAAATGATGGAGCAACAATCCTAAAATCTATTGGAGTTGATAATCCAGCTGCAAAAATTCTTGTGGGTAAGCAAGATAGTTCTATATTAATGCCTATTCAAGAAGAAAGGCTGATAGTTTCTAAAGAAACTGTTTGGGGCTGCGTTGGTGGGGTAACGAAATAATTTGGATCTATCAACAAAGTTGAAATGGCCACCGTAACGATTTCAAAAGCTGACGTTGCAGTTGTAAAAGAAGGTTGCAGTTGTAAAATTCATGTGATATCATAGAATAGAAATGATTGTTACACTACTTGCAAAGATATGCATGCACTTAGGCATAATACCGAATTCTGATTGTAATGTGTGGCTCATTTGTTAAAAGAAGACAAGTGACCTGACCCCAAACCGCAACTCTGGGGACGAGGGGTTATACTATGCCCAGTTGATGGAATGCCTGTCCATAGCATTGCATCCTGCCCACATATTGAAGTTATGTATCACCTCTTGTCGGCTTATAAAATCGGAAAATTTCAATGTGTTTTTTGCAAGTTATCTTACATGTTTCTTTTGTTTACTGTAGAATTATCAAAAGTTCAAGATAATGAAGTTGGGGATGGCACAACCAGTGTGACAGTCCTGGCTTGTGAACTGCTGCGGGTATGGTTTGCAAGGATATAAATGTTGTAAAAAACTAAGATCATGAACCAGATAAGGTGATCCGATTGACAAAATGACAGTGGTTTCCACTGATTTATACTCATTTATTGACATCGACATTCATCATTACAGTGATCAAAATGTTGTGGACTCATGAGGTTTCCAAGAAATGTATGTTTTTGTGAAAAACAACAACAAGAATGATGACAAAGACATGTAGCTGCCTTCATACATTGATGTTGCTGGAATGTAGATTTTGCTACACTGTAATAATATTTGGCCAATGTTCTATTTCAGGAGGCTGAAAAACTTGTGTCCTGCAAGGTACATCCCCAGATTATTGTGTCTGGTTGGCGGAAAGCAGTATCTGTTGCACAGAAGGCCTTGGAAGCAGCTGCTGTTGATCACAGCAGTGATGAACAAAAGTTTAAAGAGGACTTGATGAATATTGCAAGAACAACACTCAGTTCAAAAATTTTGGTTCAGCATAGAGATCATTTTGCAACTCTTGCTGTTGAAGCAGTGTTAAGGCTTAAGGTGAAACACATTCTATGATTGTGTTGGAATGAATTCATAGTTGTAACTACTACATGTACTTAAATTTTGATTAAGGTGTTTTTTTGTTATTGACTGGGTCACCACTCTAGCATAAAGCGGTGTACAGTTGTTGAAAGTACCTCTGTGCTATTTGGAAAACAGTGTAAATACATTTAAAATTGAATGGATAGAATTAAAGAGTTCTGAATGGTAGGAAGCTAAACAGTGGACAATGGTCGGTCAGTTTATCAGATGCCTGAATTGAAATGATGCTAGATTGTAATAGTTGAAACTCGTCATATTTCATAAATAAGTAAATTGTATCAAGTGATGTGCATAGATTGCTTGTACTTGTAGTGTTGTGGTAAATTGATTGGTCATGATAAGATCATTTTTTAGGATTTCTTAACAATGTTTATTACACGACTCGGACAGTCAGAGGGCCAATAATTAAAATCAACTAATCAAAATGCTCTATTGCCGGTCCAATATTCTCCAGTATTGGACCAGGCACTGTCCCGAATGGTCCCGAATGATACCGCACTTGTGTCCCTTTGAACTTCAGTCATATAATAAATCTCTTATTAACCAAGCTTGCTCGGGACCGTACTGGAAGAATATCAGCCCTTGGTCTTTATTGTACGGACCGAGCTGCGCTCGGTCCGTACTGTCAAGACCTCGGGCCAATATTCTCCCAATACGGCCCTCGCGCTTGGTTAATAAGATATATTTATTGATGAGTGTTTCTATTTGAAATGATATATATATATGGTTTGAGGTAGATGGTGGTCTGGTTTTTCTTAAAATTTCAGGGCAGTGGAAACTTGGATGCCATTCAGATTATCAAAAAACTTGGTGGAAACCTGGTTGACTCATACTTGGATGAAGGTATGCGGTAGTCAATATCATGTCAAGCTTGA